GGCCTGCCTCACAAGCGAAAGGTTCTGAGTTCGATCCTTGGTACAAAAAAAAAAAAAAAAAGATATTTTCTTTTTAGGGCTGGGGAATTAGCTCAGTGGTTCCAATGCCTGCCTCGAAAGTGCAAGGTCCTGAGTTCGATCCCCAGTACCAAAAAAACAAAAACAATAAGATACATATTTTTATAAATCCTCATGTTCAAAACCAGTGGGGCAGGACCAGGGATTTAGCTCAGTGGCACTGCTCCTGCCTCAAAAGCGCAAGGTCCAGAGTTCAATGCCTGGTACCAGAAACAAACAGAAAAACCAGTGAGGCAGGAAGATGCATTTTGGAAAATGGCAATGTACTACTCGTTGAACCCATGTTACGCACCAGCTGTTCTATCCCTGAAACCTTGGCAACAGCTTGGTGTTTTAGATTATCACCTAAGTCATAGATGAAGATGGGTTTGGAGATTGAAGGTCAGTTTTGTGATCACCCAGCTGGTAGAGTCCAGATTTAAACATAACCTTTTTCACTATGTGCACATCAAGATGTGCTGTAGTCGAAGTGTGGTTGGGGACACAGCCTGATAAAGAAGGGTTGGACCTGCTGGGCATGGTGGCACGCACCTGTGATTACGGCACTCAGGAGGCTGTGGCCTCCTGACAATCATCACAAGTTCAAAGCCAACATGGACTACACAATGAGTTCAAGGCCAGCCTGAACTACATAGTGAAATCCTGTCTCAAAGCAAAAAAAGAAGGGTTGGACAGGGTGAGGGATTCTTGCTACCTCCCTTACAAGGACCCTGTGGCAGCCACACCTCCTTCCCAGACAATCCAAGCAGAGTCTGAAAGCCTTGCATTAAGCAGCTTGAGCCTGCTTGACTATCCAACCCAGCCTCCCTGGTCTCTGTTCTGCTGTGGCCTCCTGGCTAATGCCTCACACTGAACTTACGTTATGGTACGGGGCCTTAGCACATACTCAAATCTCTTACCCATTTGTGTGTTTTTGTTGCTAGAACCCAGGGCCTTGCACACAGAGGAGCCAAGTGCTGTACCACTGAGCTACATCCCAAGCCCCTCATCCCCTTAAGAGGAAGTCTCCCTATGTTGCCCAGCCTGACTTGGAAAAACTGAGCTCAATTGATCTTTGTTCCTCAGCGTCTCCGTTGGTGTGAACTACAGGGTCCTGCTCCCGCGTCCATCCCAGTTTTTGTTTTTGTTGAATTGGCTTCTTCAGTAGCCAGAGGTCTTTGTAAACGCTTGTCATGTTTGTTACCATGTAGCTACTGCTGTTACTAACAGACTTCACTTTGCTTTCAAGGAGCTTCTACTTTTGGAACAAAGTTGCACAGGCAACTGATTCAAAGTAGTGAATGAAGACTCTTTGGGAAATAGTTGTAGTGGTAATCAAGGAAGGCAGAATTTGAAAGGCAGCCCTCCAGAGGCTGAGGCAGGAGGATCTAAAGTTCAAAGCCAGTCTGGGCTACACACACTGTCTCAAAACGCAAAACGAACAAAATCAGAATTTCGCTTGTTTTTTGGCATCCGGGATCGAACTCGGGTCCTTCTGCTTGCGAGGCAGGCGGTGGAACCACTGAACTAAATCCCCGACCCTGATCAGAACTTTGTATCGGAAAGATTTCTCCAGATAGAGTGGGTGGACTGATCTACAGAATGAATGAACATAACACTCGTCACCACCCGGCTTGGAGCTCCGTGCATGCGCACACGCAGGGCTGAGGGCTGACCCTTTCCTCTGGGTGGCGCCGGCTTCGCGCGCAACCTCTGGACCTCTCAACGGCCGCTTAACGCCTGGTCCCGCCCCTTGAGGGGGCCCTTGCTCAGCGGGGGCGGGGCCGGGAGCACGCTCCGAAGCGCGTGCCGCGGACAGGGTATGCGCATGTGCAGAAGGCGTGAGCGCGAAGGCGGGAAAAGATGGAGCGACTCGAAGTACGTGGGGCTGGTTCCCTTAATGCGGGCGGCGGGCGGATTGGCAGACGGGCAAAGAGCAGCCGCTATACTGGGCTTTCCCCGCAGTCCTGAATCTGACCACTTTCCTACCATCTGGGCCCCTTCGCGTCCCGCCTGTCCCCAATTTCCTGAGGAACCTACCCAGCGCCCTGACTGACGCGGGAACAGTGCGACTTCCGCCCACGGCGCCTCTGAGGGTCCGGCCCACAGCCCTGGCCGCTCTGGGGCGCCCTGTGTGTTCCCTGTCCGCGTGCCATCACCTCCACTCAGCACCCGACATGCCCGCAGGTAGACCTGCCCCACGAAAAGTTGAGTGACCAGGCGTTTCCGGCCATGGCAGAGGGCGAGGAGCAGCTGATCTGTGAGGACAGCTGCGCCACCAAGGAACCTGTCGAGGACCTGGCCAGGTGAGTACTGGCCCGGGAATGGGCCCCACACCCCAGCCCTTTGTGGTTTTCATTTTGATACAGGATCTCTGTAAGTTGCCTGGGCTGGGTTCAAACTGGAGATGGGAACTGGGTCATGCACCACCACACAGGCCCAATTTTTTTTTTTTTTTTTGGTACTGGGGATTGAACTCAGGACCTTGCGCTTGCAAGGCAGGTGCTGTGCCACCAAGCTAAATCCTCAGCCCTTGTTTTTGAGACAGGGTCTCACCATGTAGTCCAGGTTGGTCTTCACCTCACTATGTACCTCAGACTGGCCTCAAACTCACAGTGATTCTCCTGCCTCAGCCTCCCAGGTGCTGGAATTACATGTGTGCACCACTGTCCACGGCTTACATCTGCAAATCTTGGTATCCAAGGAGGTCTTGGACCTAATTCCTGGTGGATATGGGGGCATGACTGTATTTGGGAGGAGAACTGCTGGGTTATAGAAGTGAAGTGTTCAGGTCCCTGTCATACAGAGACCCTGGCTAGTTTGTGGAGAGTGGCTGGGAGGATGATGGAGTTGGAGGCTCCAGTAGATGTTAGCATCCAGCCAGGAGAAAGAGAAAAGTTGAGGAAGTGGATGACAGGTATGTCTCTGGCCATGGTGTGTTGGAGCAGGCTCCTCTGGCCTCCCAGAGCTGATTGCACACACTTCCTCCCAAGCCAGCACATAATGACTTCATGTTGGTACCTTGACATTGGCTCTGGTGGGGGTCTTTGTACCATGGCTGCTGGCAAATACTACAAATCAGGCCCCCACAGCCAGTTCAGTGCTTACAGCAGGCCTCTGCCCCCCCCCCCCCCCCGGCTTTCTGCCTTATAGTTTCTCACAGGTACTGGCTTATGCAACAAAGACAAGAACTCAAGTTCCATTTTTGCCCTTGTTTTTGTTGTTTTTGAGCTGCCTGGGAGCATCTACATAAATATGTCCAGCCCAGTGGATTTTCTGATCCAGAACTCAGGGTAGGGGAGGGGCTGGACATGTTGGTTGGGGCAGTCATTGTTTCAGTGGCAGTTATGGGAGGGACATAGGGACAAAATGAGTAGTGGCTCAGGACAGGGCCCTGAGGACTCCAGATACAAAGCCAGCCTCCCCTGTCTATCCTAATCCTTGGTGGGAAAGCAGAGTGGAATGGTTTGCAGTTCTGTGCCAGCAAATAGAGATCATACAAGGAAGAAATGGCTGAAGTCTGATAATCTTGCTCCAGATAACACACTTAGACCTGAGTTTGTGTGATGAAGAGACACGGACATTGCAGATCACTTAGAGATTTCAAGGAGCTCCACAAGAGCGTTGGGCCAGATACTAGATGGATTAAAATCAGTGCGGGGGCCGGTTAATAGATCCAGCAGCAGCTGCTCAGCAACATGATTAAAATGTTAACTCATTTCAGGGGTGAAAAGTAGAGGGTGAGGAAGTAGCTCATCAGCTTCAATGCAAACCTCCCCCTTCCTGGCAGTACTTCAGCAAAACATGGCTTTGCCCAAGTGCCAGGGGTGCTGTTGTGTTCCTCCTCATGTGTTTGATTAGCCTGCCTCTGCTGGGACTGTACCTCCCGTGGTGGTCAGAAGTGGCTGGCGGATTGTTTATTTGTTTATCTGTTTGAGGCCACGCAGGGAGGGCCCAGCAGCGGGTGGTGCTGGCGCACATGCCTGCCAATCACAGCTTTACCTGGAGGGAACAGATGGGCTCTTCGCTTAGACCCATTTTCCGGGCCCTCTGCCAGCCTGTGGCCTGCCAGGGAACTAGGTCCTAATCCTCAAAGCCGAATCAGGGACTCCTTGGAAGGACAGACATAATAGATGAATGCGGCAATGTGTTCACAGCCCCCACCCCACACCCTTCCCCATGAAGGCCACACATACCAGGCGTGCTGGGTCAGGCTTGCTTCCATTCCCTGGCCTTGCTCCAGAAGCTGGCCTGGGAGCCAGGGAAGCCATCGGAGAGGACAACATGCATTTTGTTTATTAAAGCTAATTGGTGAATACAGGCCCAGGAAAGCCTGTGAGTCATTAGCATCCTAATTAATATGCAGCTGCTGAGTATTAAGAAAAATGAAATAGAAAGGACCAAATCCGCAAAGAAGAGGTTGGAAAACTAAAGCTCTCAGCAGACATCTGACACAGGCCTTTGTCCTGCCACAAAATTGGAATTAGTTAAATTCAAGTGATTTTTCACCATTTGTATAGAAGCCATGAAAACCCCTTGTAGCCTCAGCCTTTGAGCCTTAGTAAGGAGTGCTTCCCAGTTGCTAGCAACTCAAGCAGATTGTGAACAATGACATGGAAAGAAACTCCTGGTGATATCATTGCTTTTAATTTCAGGGTCCTAAACTCCTGGGGAGGTTGAGACAGCAAGAGAAACTTGCAGGTGCAAGCAGGTGTGCCAGCAGAAGTGTTAGAACCAGCTCCGCTGTCCATTCATTTAGATATTTGGCAAACATTTCTGAAGGCTTTGGGGTACTGGAAAGCACAGCTGAGCAGAATACAGCAGTCCCCCTCCTCAGGCCTGTGTGTGCACCAAAGAGGACCACTATGCATAAATGAGCAGCTCCACAGCCAATATGGCTAAGAGTAGTGGGGTGCAGGAGTGGTAGCTTCAAATGTTTTTGGGGTTTTTTTGTACCAGGGATCAAACTCAGGACCTTGCATTTGTGAGGCAGGCGGCAGCAGCTCCAAATGTGTTTTGAGACAGGGCCTTGCTACATAGCCCAGGCTGGCCTTGAACTCACTATGTAGTTCAGCCTGACCTCCAGCTCTCAGTGATCCTCTGGCTTAGGCTCCTAAGTGCTGGGATGACAGATGTGTGCCATAGTGCCCAATAGAAGCTCCAGATGTTTCTTCAATGTGAAGGAGGTGGGGGCTGCACTACTGGTGTGCAGAGGCAAAATTTGAGATGCTTTTAGAGACACCTGCTGGAGGCTGATGTGCCTGAAAGTAGATGTGTGTGTCCTTGGAAGTGGGAGAGGGATGAGCTATGGATGATCAATTTGGGGGTCACCAAGGTGTGCATGGTAGTGAAAGCCCTTGAGTCATTCATTCATGTCATGCACACTTCCTGGTCCTTCCCTGAGGCATAGACATACTGGAGACTGGAGGATGGGTCAGATGTGAGCCCAGCCTCCAGGAGTCTTGGGAGAGGCTGGGGCATGGACAGTGACATTGGAGGCACTGTGTGCACTTAGGCCAGGCCAGAACCTTCTAGAGGACCAGGCCTAGGGTGGTGGTGGGGGCGGTTGGGCAAGGCAGGCTACCAGGATGCCTTTGAAGACTTATAGGCTGTGCATTGCCATGGAGAGGCTTCAGGGAGGAGGACCCAGGGTTCACTGCAGAGCACAGGGAGTGAGGGTATCAAGGGAGCAAGCAGAGGCCATTCACAGGGCCCAGGGTACCAAGCGTTGGGAATGGGGCAGAAGAAAAGTCAGGAGATTATGGTGGGGATGTGCATAGGTCTGACCACAAGGTCATTGGGGACCTTGGCATGAGCGTCATTTGAAAACTGGGGGAGGAAGCTCGTTGCTTTGGGCCAAGAAGTGAATAGAAGGTTAGAAAAATATGCACAGGAAATGTAGGAGATCTTTCTAGAACCTTGCCTATGATAGGGAAGAAAGGGAAATCGCTGGCTAAGGGGGGCCTGTGGTTGAGGAGCAGGTTGTGTGTGAAACAGCTCGTGCCAGGATGGGGTGCAGCTCAGTGTAGAGCACTTACCTAGCACATGCAACTCCCTGGGTTCCATCCCCAGCACTCCAGAAAAACTAGAGAAGGAGAGAGAATGGGAGGAAAGAAATAGCATACATCAAGGGGAAAGAACCAGCCCAAGGAGACAAGGTAAAAACAAAAGGGGGACAAGAGAGGGGACCAGAAGGCCAGCAGCTCTTTGGCTGAGCTGGAGGTTGTGGATGCCCATGGGCAAGTGGAAGGTGTCCCAGTCCTGGCTGCTTCTGTGTCTGCTCAGGTGAGGGGAGGCAAATTGGAGTCAGAGATGGAGAATTTGAAGCTTTGTCAGGGCTGATGGGAGAAGTGAGAGAGGGCAGTGACCTGAGCACAGGGAGGATAACAGAAGGCCCTGAGGATTCCCTGGAGGACTGTAGACTAGGAATCTGTGTCCCCAGGGCCACTGTCCTCCAATGACACTCAAGTTCCTGAGTGTGGGACAAGAGAAAGCACTTGGTCATGGTGGGCCAGGGGAGGGTGTGGGGGAGGGAGTGATGGGGAAGAGGGGCCATCCCAAGTGAGCAAGCCCTGGGTTTAGGCTGCAGGGAGGGGAGGCAGTTCTGGAGGTCTCAGGGAAGCCCAAGGGCACCTTTTCTTGTCCTGGTCCTCCTAGCTCCATTCCTTGCCATTCTCATTGTACAGCTCCTGGCTGTTTCTCTTCGTGTGTGTGTGTGTGTGTGCGTGCGTGCGTGCGTGCGTGTGTGTGTGTGTGTACACGTACTGGGGATGGAGCCCCAGGGCCTTGCCACATGCCAGGCAAGCACTCCACCACTGAGCTGTATCTTCATCCCTTTTCACTTTTATTTTGAGACAGGGTCTCACTAAGTGGCCCAGACTGGCCTCAAACTTAGGATCCAACTGCCTCAGCCTTCCAAATAGCTGGGATGGTGTTAGTGTGGCACCATACTGGGCTTCAGCTATTCTCTCAAAAGCTTCCACTCTGTGTTCTCCATGTGCATCCAGATGTTAGAAATATCTGAAATGCAGCAGTGCCCAACTCTGAATTAGTCTCCTCCGCGTCTTACTCACCTTTGAAAAAGTAGAGCTATTGCAGGTTTGGAGGTAGAAGCTCCTCAGCAATTTTTGTCCCACTCCAAATATCTGTTTGTAAAAATGCTTAGGGCGCCATGCTTTATTCATGTGTTTTTCTTTCTTTTTTTTTTTTAGTACTGGGGATTGAACTTGGGACCTTGCGCTTGGGAGGCAGTTGGCGGCACCACTGAGCTAAATCCCTGGCCTATTCATGTGTTTTTCCAGCTAGTTGGTATATCTTGGGTATAGCATATCTGTCTCTTTAGAGGTACTTTCCTGTCCTGACACATGAGGCACAGGGTGATGAACTTGCATTTTTTGTGAAGTCAGGGTGGGAGAGGAGTGGGTAGAACAGTCATTCAGCACATGGTATAGGAGCAGATGCTAGGAGTGTGGAGGGAGATGGGACACAGTTCTGTGGGTTTTGGGAGCATGAAAGGTGACGAGCACACACAATAGTACAGATGCATAGGAGTCATCAATGGCTAAGCAAAGCAAACAGGAAACACTACAGTGGTCTGGGTGGGGCTCAGCGCTTCAGTCAGGGAGCAGGTGCAAAGGCACCAAGGTGAGAAAATGGTCTGGCAAGGAACACAGGAGCACATAGCTAAAGCCTGGGGCCTGGGAACTTGCCTGCAGAGGAGAGTTCTGACTGCCCAGGCTCCCAGTCCTGGGGTTTCACGGCACATACATTCTGAGCCAGCATACAGAGCTAAGGCCAGCAGGAAACTGAGAGCCAAGAAAAGGTTTAATGGAGAAAGCATCCAAAAATGAACATGTGGCCGGGTGTGGTGGCTCATGCCTGTAATCCCAACACTTGGGAGGCAGAGGCAGGAGGATTGCCTCAAATTCGAGGCTAGCCTGAGCTACATAATGAGTTCAGGGCCAGCCTGAACTACAAAGTGAGACCCTGTCTCAAAAAAAAGAACGTGGCACTAGGGTGCAGCTAAATGGTGAGTGCTTGCCAGCTTGGGCCAGAACCCTGGGCTCCATCCCTAGCACTGCAAGAAAAAACTTCACTCATAATGCATAGCTTAGATTTCTAGTTTCTTTTTTTTTCAGTACTGGGGCTAGAACTTGGGACCTTGCACTTATGAGGCACGTGGCAGAACCACTGAGCTAAATCCCTGGCCCACTGGTTTCTTTTTTAAAGCAGAGCTTGCCCTGACCAAGCAGTGTGTATGCAGAATCCTAGATTTTTATGATCTTTGTCCCAGTGTATCGTTGCCTCCCTCATATTAAACTGAGGGGCTACATGAACCTCACTTTCTTTGCTCATTTTAGCTTTTCAGACAGTTGTCACTTTTATACGTGATTTCCCTGGCTGGCGTAGTATTTGAGTTATATAATTATAGTGCCATGTAGAGTATAGGATAAATATAACTTCATAAAAATTTTTAATTAAAAAAAAATATATATATATATTTCATGGTGTGAAGGTGCAAACTCAGGCCTTATTCATGCTAGGCAAGTGCTCTACCCCTGAACCACAACCCAGCCTAAAATCTAGCTCATGACAGCGTTTACTTCATGTGATGGGAGAAGGTACCCTAGCCTAGCTGTCTGCTTGCTGTGGCTATCACCCATTGGGTCAAGAAAGGATGCAGTGGGTAACACGAAGGTCATTTAAGAAAGCATCTCAAAAAAAAAAAAAAAGAAAGCATCTGTACTATACTGTTCCTATTACAGGCCAAGAATCCTTTATCCAAAGTGCTTAGGAACAGAAATATTTTGGATTTTGGAATATTTGCATAGAACATCCCTAATCCAAAAATCCTAAATCCAAAGTCCTCTGAAGTCCAAAACTCTTCATACTCAAAAAAAAAATTTTTTTTGATACCAGAGATTGAACTCAGGACTTTGGACTTGTAAGGCAGGTGAGGTGCCACTGAGCTAAATTCCCAGACTGAAAATGTTTTGATTTAGGGCAGGCCTCGGAGGTATATGCCTGTAATTTCAGCTCTGGGGAGGCTAAGACAGGAGGATTGTGAGTTTTGAGGGCAGCCTGGACTGCACCTGCCTTAAAAAAGTTTCTGATTTTGGAAAATTTCAGATTTTTAGATTATGGGTATTCAACCTGTACCTTTTTTGTTTTGTCCTTTATTACTAGGGATCAAACCCAAAACCACATGCATGCTAGGCAAACGTTCATCACTGAACTACATCCTCTGCCCTTTTTACTATTTGAGACAGGGTCTTGGTAAATTGCCCAGGTTGGCCTCACTTGCAGTCCTCATACTTCAACCTCCTGAGTAGCTGAGATTACAAGCATTGGCCACCACTCACCTTGTCCTATTTATGGCTATTTCAAAGAAGCAAGTTATGTAATAAAATACTAGTGGGCCTTTGGGTGGGATAGATCTTCACGTTCTAGAATTTTGGGCATCTTTAGTTTGTGCTTCTGGATGTTTTCTCAGTTATAAAATGGGATGCTAGTCAGAAGTGGTGGATGCCTATAATCCCAGTACTCTAGGGAGCTTAGGCAGGGGAATCACTATTACCCCAGCCTGGGCATCTTAGTAAGACACTGCCTCAATAAAAAATTTAAAAACAGCTGGGGTTGGGGGCCAGGGATTTAGCTCAGTGGTTCCAGTGCCTGCCTCGCAAGCGCAAGGACCCGAGTTCCATCCCTGGTACCAAAAAAAAACAACAGCTGAGGATGTAGCTCAGTGTAAAGGTCCTGGGTTCAATCCCCAGTAAAACACACACATGCATGCACGCAGGGGGTGAGGGGTGGAGGGAGGTGGGGTGGTGTTATCCTCATGTCTGAGGGCATGAATGAAGTGACTTACGACACTTGCCCCATCACAGAGCTCACTCAATTCAGATCAGCCACTCTGTGTGTGCTGGGTCTGGAAGCTAGGACCATGCCCTGAGCTAAGCACTTGATCTACCATTGGGCCATACTCCCATCCCTGAATGGCCACTCTTGGAGTCCGGTGCTGAACTGTTTCCTGTACTTTCAGAAGTCAGGTTTCTAGCCCTTGTATCTCCACCTCCAGTGCCAGCCACCAGCTGCCAGTGCTGGAAGGGAAGGCAGGACTCTACTTTTCCTCCCTGCACTCAAGTATCGACATTTTGAAGAAGAGAGCCCAGGACCTGATTGAAAACATCAATGAGAACAGGCAGAAGGACCATGCACTCATGACCAACTTCAGGGACAGCCTCAAGATCAAGGTACAGAGTCCCTAGTGGAGAGGGGGCTCTTATAAAGGGGATGAAGGCATGTGGCTGGCCATGTGCTTTTTCCAGGCACTGTGCTAGCAGTTCACACAGCATCTCATTTCATTCAACACTCAGGAAATTGGACTCATTTTATTGATGAGCGAACTAAGGTTCAGCTAGGCATGGTGCCACACACCTTTAGTTCTAGCACTTGGGAGACAAAAGCAGGAAGATCAAATATTCAAGGCTTGCCAAGTGTGGTGGTACACACCTGTAATCCGGTGCTCGGGAGGCTGAGGCAGAAAGATCACCATGAGTTAGAGACCAGCCAACCAGGATTAAAGACCCAGACTCAACCAAACAAAACAAATACACCAAAAAGGATCAGAAATAAATGATTTGGGCTGGGGCTGTAACTCAGTGGTAGAGTGCTTACCTAGCATTCATGAGCCCCTAGGTTCCACCTCCAGCACTAAAATGTATTGATTTAACTTAAAAGTTAATTAAATTAAAAAGAAAAGAGATAAAGGGTTCACCATGTGAGGAATCCAGACTGAGGCACTCAGGTCCATGTACAGTCAGAGGCCAGCCCTCTTACTGCCCCCAGGGTGAGTGCAATGAGAGCAGGAGGTTGACCATGCTGCCTTTTGATTGCCATGTGTTCCCCAGAGACCGGCAGTGGTCTGTGGCGCAAGCCAGTCCCTCAGCATGCCTAGGGATTCTGTCTAACAAGGCAGATATTAGTTATGCTCAACTCTAGAATTAATGGCCATGCCTGGTGCCTCCTGAGAGTATAATTAGCAGGAAAAAAATTTTAAAGAGCTGGGCATGGTGGCACACAGGTATAGTCCCAGCACTTGGGAGGCTGAGGCAGGAGGATCGCCAAAATTCAAGGTCAGCCTGGGATACACAATAAATTCATGGCCAGCCTAAACTACATAGTGAGATTCTTTGTCTCAAAAAATAATTAAATAAAAATGGAATATAGTCAGCAGAGCCCTCAGTCAAACCTTTATTATCTGTATGTGGAACCTGTAGATAGGAAAGGCCAAATGTACATACTTGCATCTTGGTTCAAATTTCTAAAAAAATAATTTGAACACACAGGCACTTTTACCTTCAGTCACTGGAGTTCTTTGTACCATTTCCACAAGATAAACTACCAAAATCTAAGAGATCCTCTTAGATGGCTCTAGATTTCCTAACACTTAATCTTTGCAAGGTCTCAGATCTGACAGAGAAGTTAGAGGACAGGATATACCAGGTCTACAGCTACCACAGCAAGATAATTCAGGAAAGGCTGCAGGAATTCACCCAGAAAATGCTGCAGATCAGCCACCTGGAGATGGAGCTCAAAGAAGCATGCCATACTGTGGAGTCTGTGTACAGAGACCTGTGCGTGCACCCTGAGGTAGGAGCCACACTGGCAGGGTGGGGGGACCGCTCAGGAGGGCTTGGTGATGACTCAGCTGAGAGCAAGCTGGGGCAGGAAGCAGGGATGTCAGAGCTCACCCCTGGGGCCATGATCCCTGGCACATGGTGTGTCCAAGCAAAGAAGCCAAACCCCTGTCACTTCCCATGGCTGTGGCTGCAAGTTAGATACTGTCCCCTCTGTCATAGGTGGAACCCATAGCCTGGGCTGTCACTCCAGAACCTAGGAGGGGACCAGCCCAACATTCAGACATGGGCCAGAACACTCCAGTGAGAAGCCCCACCCTGTCCCGGGGGCTCAGCCAGGAACACTTGTTTCCTCAAAAGAACTCCGAAGACGCCTTCTCCAAGGTTCCCAGTAATTTGGCCCAACACTGCAGGGTCAGATGGGCAGATGCTTTATTTTTTCCTCTCCCACATCCTGCCCTGGGATGGAGGGTCAGACACTGCAGGCTTCAACCCAGCCTTGCAGCCGGCCACTCAGCCACAGGTCGCCTACTCTCCCAGCAAAGAACCTTCTGTGCTGAGGTGACTGGAGCTAAAAGTGGACAGGAAACACTGGATAGGGAATCACCTCATCTTTTTGAGGAGCTTATCTGAATGCCTTCCACAGAGAGATGCTGATATTTACTGGTTGTTGTTCCTCACTTCCTACTGTGGAAGTTGAGTTGTCCAACACCTCCTGCTCAGCCCAGAGCAGGTAGTGCCAGGGTCCAACCAGTGTCTCCCCAGAAGGCGGCTCTGGTGCCAAATGGGTTCACTTGCCCTCTGAGAATGCCTGAATTCCTGTGATTGCCCGTCCAAGGATCAGCGCATGGATGTCGTGCGTACCTGGACAGAATTAATACAGGTCAGCTTGGAAGTTTCCCAGCTTATAACTTGCCATTAAAGTCCACTTTTGTGTCCCCCAGGCCACCGCTTTAGAAGAGCAGACCTATAAAGATGCTGATTCCTAACCGATGGCTGGGAGATTCGCCTCCTAGTGACAGCCACCCACAGAAGACCAGGAGCCCTTTGGGCCACGCTGAGATTGTTTTCTACAGTTCTATAGTTCTAAAATGCAACTGGGCAAAAGCAAAACAAAACCAATAAAACAAAGTTCGTGATGCTAAACCCTAAGATGCAGCAAGTGTAGGCCCCACTGTGGGCCTAGCCTTAGCCTGCAAGTTGATTAAATGTTTGATTTTCAACTTGCCACGCTTCCTACTGTAGCAGCTGGGACGTGACAGCCCTTGTTTCCCCTGGGAGAATGGGAAGACAAACATGAGAAAGGCTGTGGACTGTCCCTGTAGATCCCCACCCTGAAATGGCCGCCACACTGCATTCCCTCATGTATAGTGCAGGCTGGCCTCGAATTCACAGTGATCCTCCTGCCTCAGCCTCCCAAATGCTGGGATTGCAGGTGTGTGCCACCACACTCAGCATTTTGATTATCTTTTTCCATGTCTGCCTTCGGACCAAGCCAGGGGTCCAGGCCCCAGTGGGAGTCATTACTAGTTGCAATGATTACAGTCATCCTCTTTCTTTGCCTTGAACATGAATGGAAGGGGCTGCTGTGTGTCACTCTCACTGCCTGGTGTCCACCAGCCCAGTGAGAGTTGCACCCCTCAGGGATGCCTCACAGGCTGTCCCTCTGACACAGTGTACACTAGGAGACAGGGCCTGATCAGGCCTCTGGGCGGTGTTTGGTGAGCAACCGCAGGTCACAGCACCACTGCCCCCTTCCCCAGACACTGAGGCCCTGCACAGTCCTGGACCCACCTTCATAGGTGTTCACCCCCTCCAGGTTCATGGCGTGCCGGATCACATGGTACTCGTCTAAAATCCCATTGCCGCCTAGCATGTCTCGGGCCTGGCGTGCGATGTCCAGGGCTTTCCCACAGTTGTTCCTCTTCAGCAAGGAGACCATCTCTGGGGTGGCCCTGGGAGTGGCATATGCATATACCAAGCACTGAGTCCCCAACACCCTGAGTAAACCCAGCTGGGGTTGGGGGGTACTCCTCAGTTCACTGCCAAGTCTCCAGGGAGGCATAGGACCTGGGGCCACAAGCCGGTAGGACCTTACGCCCAGGGGCAAAGGGCCTTTCTGCCACAACCGCCTCACCCCACCCAAACCCCAACCTGTCCTGGTCCTTAAGGCGGCCCAGCCGCAGGCAGGCCTGGAGCCCCAGTGTGATCTCAGTCAACATGTCTGCCAGCTTCTTCTGGATCAGCTGATTCTTGGCCAAGGGAGCACCAAACTGGATCCTGGTGGGGGAGTCAGGAAAGGGCTGGAGGGAGGCCCACTTCCCCCAGCCCCCAGCTCAGCGCCCTGCTGCCCAGGAAGCTTTCAGAGCTGCCCTGGCTCTGCTCAGAGGGACTTCATAGAGCAGGGGACTTAGGCCTGGGGGCAATGACCCCCACGCACCTGTCCAGGGTGTACTGCCGGGCAGTGTGCAGGCAGAACTCAGCAGCTCCCAGCACACCCCACGTGATGCCATAGCGGGCGTTGTTGAGGCAATTGAAGACACCCTGTAGGGTTGAGGGGGGCTCAGTCTCCCCCAAGAGCCGATGAGAGGGCCTGTGCAGAACCAACACTCCCCCTTTTTAGTGCAGTGCTGGAGATGGAACCATGGCCATGTGTTTTTTTGGTACTGGAGATTGAACTCAGGACCTTGCATTTGCTAGGAAGGCATGGTGAAATGCTCTGGCACTGAGCTATACCTCCAGTTCTATTTATTCTGAGACAGGGTCTTACGAAATTGCCCAGGTTGGGCTGCCTGTTTCTTACTGTCTGTCTATTTTTGTGGTACTGGGGATCAAACTCAGGGACATTCTACTACTGAGCTACATCCTAGGCCTTTTTAATTTATTTTGAGACAGGATCTTTCTGTTATCCAAGCTGGCCTAGAATTTGTGATCCTCCTACTTCAGCCTCCTCAGTAGCTGGGATTATAGGGATACATCACTATACCTTGCTGCCTGCTTCCTCTGGATTTGCACACAGTCCTACCCTGCCTGGGATCTGGATTCAGTGCTCAGATCTAGGTCGATATACATAGGACAGAAATATGCCCATGAGTCAAGCTGGAAGCTGGTTAGGCTCTAGGGAACCTGGGCAGAGCCAGTGTGAGCCTGTTACCAAAACGGGGTGGCTGGCACAGCAGGAAGGCAGGCAGAGCCTCAATGACCTGACCATATCATCCAGGCTGGGAAAGTGAATCAGCAGGAGAATGATGCTAGTCCCCAGTCCCCACACTCACCGCCAGGCCAGCCACGTTAGGCAGTACATTGTCCTCTGGCACCTCCACACTGTCCATGATGATCATGCCTGTGGTTGAGGCCCTCAGGGAGAACTTGCCTTCAATCTTGGGGGCCGAGAGGCCCCTCATCCCCTTCTCCAGCAGGAAGCCCCGAATGCGAGCGTCTTCACACCGAGCCCACACTACAAACAGGTCAGCCACCGGGGAGTTGGTGATCCTGGGGGTGGGCAGTCAGTAAGGGCTCTGGCTGTAGCCTCGGCCCTGTTGGCCCACCACCACCCAGCTCCTTACCAGGTCTTGGTCCCACTGAGGGTGTAGCTCTTGCTTGCTGGGTTGTGGCGGGCCCTGGTCTCCATCCTGCTGGGGTCACTCCCATGGTTGGGCTCTGTGAGTCCAAAGCAGCCCAGGAGCTCCCCCTTGGCTGAAGGCACAAGACAGTCACCAGGTTGCAGGTCCCACTCATCCCCTCAAAACTGATCAGCCCATGGACAGTTGCTTAGCTGGCTGTGGTGGTGCATGCCTATAATGCCAGGCTGAGGCAGGAGGATTGCAGTGAGTTCAGGGTTAGCCTAGGCTACAAAGTGAGTTCAAGGCCAGCCTGAACTGTATAGTGAGGCTGTCTCAAAAAATAAAAACACGAGTTCAATCCCCGGTACCAAAAAAAAGAAAAAGAAAAACTATGGACAGCTGCTTACCCAGCTGGGGTAGGTACTTCTGCCGCTGCTCCTCACTGCCATAGGCATAGATAGGATGCATAACAAGGGAGGACTGCACGCTCATCATGGACCTGTAGCCGCTGTCCACCCGCTCCAGCTCCCGTGCCAGAAGCCCATATGCCACGGAGGAGACCCCAGCACAGCCATACCCTGTGGGAGCCGAGAGGGGACAGAGGCAGAGCCGGACAGGGCATCGAGTAGGTAGGCATAGAGTTGCCCTGATGGAAGTTTATTCACCAAATCCCCGCAGCCACTTCAGGAAGGAGGAATAACCAACCTCATTTTACAGATTTGGACCCTGGCTCTGGGAAAGGAAGGGGCTTTTCAGGACCCGGTGGCATCTGCAGCGCATAGAGGGGAATGAATCCCTACCTTTGATAGTGGGTCCCAGCACACCCAACTCCCCCATCTCAGTGACGATCTCCCGGTTAAAAACTGCGAAGGAAGGGGCGGACGCAGACTGTCAGGTCTGGCCCAGCCCACTTGAGCCCCGGCCCGCCCTCTGGCCCCGCACCTCCGTTGCGGTAGGCCATCAGGATGCGCGGCATGAGTCGCTCGTGGCAGTAATTGCGGAAGGTGTCCCTGATGAGGATCTCGTCTGCCTTCAGCTGTTCCTCCAGCACCAGCGGGTCCCACCAGTCGAACTTGGGACGCGAGGCTAGCGGAGCGCGGGGCTTGACCACCCCAACCACACTGCACATCCTCTCCCAGACCTAGCATCCCTGAACCCCTCGTCCCGCACACAGGACCGACGAAGGCGACCCTTCTCCAGCCCCGCCCCTTGGCGCCCTCGACCAGGGCACGGCCGGTCCCCTCCCGGGTCACCTCGGGTCCTTACACCCTTGTTTGCAAACAGTACGAGGCCACGCCGGAAGACACCCCCGCCGGCCGCAGTCCTCCTTCCCACTCCCTCGGGCCTCGCACAGACCTGTGTGCATGGCCGCCGAGCCCCACGCATGCTGGACGCGGAGGTGGGCCCCGCGGCTCAACAATCGCGCGGCGACGCCTCTCAGGGCCATTCGGGCAGAGGGCGAGCTGCAACCACCGTGACCTACAGGAGCAGGAAGGGGGGGATCAGGGCCGAAAAGCTCCCGCCGAGCGCCCTGACTCCCACGCGCTACCTACCTGGCGCCGGGAGCGCTACTCAAAGTCCACAGGGCAACAAAAGAAAGAGTTGACCTCAGCCGGAGGTGGGCGGGGCGGGGCGAAGAGAGAATGGCGGTTCTCATTGGTTCCCTCCGCACTTCCGCACTCTGAGGCGAAGGCACGTTTTTTAAAAAGCGAAACAGAAAAGGGGAGGCAAGCAAATTCGTTAACCCGATTGGCTGGATGTATTTCTGCTCGGATTGGCCCTAAAAGGGGCTCGGGCCAGTCCTGGTTAGTTAGTGACTAAGGGTGTGTGCCTAAGGATCCAGAAGGTTAATAAGGCAGAGTCCAGGAACCCCGGCCGCTAGGCCTTGAGGAGTCGGGGGGGGGGGGGGTCCGAGTGGGCGGACGAGCGCAGGCCATCCTATCTTCCTCTTTCCCAGGAAGCAGGTGCACTACGTATGACTGTGTGTAAGTGTGATTTTGCGTGATTGTCTGCGTTGTTTGTGCCTGAGTAACTGTGTATCTGTAGGTGGGACTGGCTCTGTGAGTTACAGTATTTGTTTGAACACTTACTGATTTTGGGAGTATATATCTAGGAGTAGAATGGCAGTGTCATTTTTAACTTTTGAAGGAATAAACTGTTTTCCCTAGTGGCTACATCATTTTAAATTCCCAACATGCGTCGCGAATTTAGCTCAGTGGTTCCGCCGCCTGCCTCACAAGTGCACAGTCCCAAGTTCGATCCCTGGTACAAACAAACAACAACAACAAAATTTCCAACAGTAGTGTATGAGGGTTCCAGTTTCTCCACATCCTCCCCAATACTTATTTTCCATTTTTTATTTTTTAAATTTATTTTTCCCCTGTACCCCCCCTCAAAAATTATTTTTAGCCAGGTGTGGTGGCCCAAGCCTGAAATGCCAGCACTGTGGAAGGCTGAGGCAGGAAGATTGCAAGTTTGAGCTCAGCCTGGGATATTTACTTGGTACCAGGAATAAAACTCAGCACCTTGCACTTGGTAGGCAGGTGTGGCACCACTGAGCTACATCCCTTGCCCTCAGCCTGGGCAATTTAGCAAGACCCTGTCTCAAAATTTTAAGATTGCTAGGGGGAAAAGAGCAATGCAATAGCCCTGGGTTCAGGCCCCAATCCCAAATTTCTTTTTTTCATTTTAAAAATTGTAGTTATTCTGATGGCTGCATCAAGCTGGCTTTCATCCTACTTTTCCTTCCCTTATCTTCCCTTTCCCCACAGTACACATTTTTTGGTCTTTTTATGTGATGTATATGTAGCAGACTAATTCAGATTGTGTCTGTGGTGATGTGCCCAGGCCTGAGTGGAGCTGTGTGCCCTCGACCGTCAGGATGTCTTTAAATGGGATTGCCTGAACTTGATAGGTGTGTTCCTTGTGGGTGGACAATGGCATCTGCATAATTATGTGCCTTAATTACAAACTGCGATGGCATCTGGTGGTGTGACAATGTAATGAGTAGGTTTTGGATGGTGCTGTGTGGAATTATGATTTTATGATGTACAGCTATATGTACAGCTACATTATCATATACACCTATTTGGGATGAGTATGTGGTCATATTTTATGTTGTTGTGTCTGAGGCTATCCCAGTGTTTGATGGGATTTTGTGAGTGCATCTTTAATAGTTATAGAACAGCTGGGTGTGGTGGCACATGCCTGTAATCCCAGCATTGCTGTGAGTTCAAGGCCAGCCTGAAGTACACAGTAAAACCCTGTCTCAAAACAACAAGTTATAAGAGAACATATCCAGGGGCTAGGGATGTAGCTCAATACCACCCATACCTGCCTGGCAGATCTCTGATATGAGAGAGAAAGAGAGAGACAGAGACAGAGACAGACATATACATATCAAGGATTCACCTTGTGTCTGGGCCTGGATGCTGCTGTGTTTGTGCCCTACATGGGCAAGGACTTGAGGTTCTGTAAGAGATGCCTCCATTGTAAGATTCTGAGAGATGTAAGAGACACAATCCCCTTGTAGCTAAACTGTATCAATGTGATTGTGTGACTGTTTTAGCACTCTCTCATTATGAAATCTGTGTGCTCAGGATTTCACGGCTATTATATTGTTATGCTAAGCAATACAGTATAACAACTATTTACATAGCATTTAGGGTGTATTAGATCTTATAATTACTCTAGAGACCTGGGTGTGGTGTAATCCCGACTACTCAGAAGGCAGAGGCAGGAAGATGGAAAGTTGAAAGAGTGCCTAGGCAATGTAGTGAGACCCTGTTTCACAATAAGAAATAAGAAGGGCTGGGCATGTAGCTCAGTGTGAAGGCCTTGGGTTCAGTCCCCAGCACCATACATGTGTGCACACATGTGTGCACGTGTACACACACACACACAATCTGGAGTTGATTTAAAGTCTACAGGAGGATGTGGGTTCTACACAAATACTGTGCCATTTTATACAAAGAACTTACAGAGTTATTAGTATCTGTAGGGGTCCTGATACAACCCCCTGTGAGTACCAAGGGACAGCTGTCTATATGTAGAGGCTATATGGCCTGTCTGGTTGAGGGACCAGCAACTTATGCCACTATCTAACTCTGTGGCTGTGTGTGGCTATGAGCTATGTGTCTATGACATGTGTCCATATCTGGTACCTGGGCTCCCAGGCCACCAGAGTGGAGGCATCTCTTATAAAACCTCAAGTCCTCGCCCACATGGTGCACAAATCCAGCAGCAGCTAGGTCCAGCTATGGGTCTCTGGCAGGTCAGGTGCTGCTTTGGTTTGATCAATGGTCACTCTGTCCCCATCACCTGCAACAGCTGTAATGCCACCAACCTCATCCCCACACAGTGCCCCCTGAAGCTCTGTGGTAGCAATAGCGGGCTGATTGGCAGGGGCTCCCTCCCACCATGGGGCTCAGACCTTGGGGGCTCACAACCCAGGCAATTTAAAGCCACAGGAATGTGCAGACCTAACCCCCAGCCCGCCCACTCACGAGGGGACAGAGCTTTGGCTGTTCTGGGGCCCCCACTTGATAGCAGCTTCCAGCATCTGGCACGACTGATAATGCACTGGAGGGAGTTTGTGCCAAGTCCTGCCATCAGCGCAGTTGTTGCTGTCTTTTGAGGAGGGGTAGAATTGCACAGCCTCACTTAGGGGATACTGGGTCCCATAGCTCCTTCCCAGAATAGTTTCTGCATTTCACCCCTTCTCCAGGAAGGTAAACTGAGAGCAGGCCCCCAAACCTGTGCTTCCTTGGGGACTTTGCCTCTGCTTACCTGGCTCCTGGACCCCCACCCCCAGGACCCACCATCCCCTCACCATCCCCTGACATCTTGACTTGGCCTTTGATACACGGTTTGTGTTTAAAGCCCAGCTCTAAACAGGCTGAGGTGAGATCTGTTCCCAGAAGTGGTAACCCCCCGCCCTGCCTGGGCCTTATCAGGGGCTGCAGCCAATCAGCCGGGGGCAGAGGAGCCCTCCAAGGGGCCCGCTGAGCCTCAGAGCCCACGAGGCAGCCACGGGTGCAGAGGCCTGAGCCCGGGTAGGCACTCAGCAGCCATGGCCAGGGCTGAGACTGCCCTGCCCTCCATCAGCATGCTGACCACCCTGGGGCCCTGCCCGGACACCCAGGAGGACTTTCTTAAGGTGCGGTCAGGTGGGCCAGGGAGCCAGGGTTTTTGCCCATCGAGCTTGGGAGTTGGGGTCCCCGATCCGTCCAGGTCAGGGGACTGAGTGTGGTCTAGGGGGCAGGTAGTCTAGAAGTCTGATCATCTAGCTGTTGCCTTTCTGTAATGAAAACTGAGCTCTCTGCTAAACCCTCTATAGGCGTAGGCTCAGGTGGTCAATGTCCCAGTTATCAGAAGGAAATGGTAAAGGTGCCTGGGAGAAATCCAGGATTCAGGAATAAATTTTATACGGAGATAGGAAAAAAAGAGGGTCTGAGGGGAAACTGAGTTAAGACTGGGTTCCCCACCACCACCCCGCCATCCCTGCCCCCATCCTGAATGTGGGTCCAGATAATGGAAGTCTTATCTCCCGTCTGGCTGGCAGACCCGATCAAACTCTGTCTCGAGGTGAGGGAGGCTGAGGGGGCAGTGTGGGGAGAGACAGGTGAACCAGACCCCTTTGGGAAGCCTCTGGCCAGAATGCCCCGCGGGGTGTCGGAACGGCACCGTCCTGGGCAAGACGCCCCAGTACTCTCGAACGCCTCTGGCTTGCGCTCCCTCCTACAGTGGTGGCGCCTGGACGAGGCGCAGGACCTGGGTCCAGGTCCCCCGGACCCCATGGGGCCGCCCCTTCACGTGAGCCCGGAGTCGGAGGACGCGCCCGGGGAGGACGAGGATGGCGACAGAGACGCAGATGCTGCCTGGGACCTGGATCTCTTCCTCAGCAGCTTCCCGCCCCCAGAGCCGGGCGGTGCGCCCCGGACCTGCGCCCTGAACACCGGCGAGGCACCTGGGGCGCAGTACGTTCCGCCCTCCGAGACCCTGGGCGCTTACCCGGGCGGCCCGGGCCTAGTGTCGGGGCCGCTGGGCCCGGAGGAGCCGGCGGGCTGGGCGCGCGCCCCGGACCCCTTCACAGCCCCGGGTCCCGGACCCGAGCCCAAGGCGCTGGCGCTGCAGCCTTTGTACCCGGGGCCGGGGGCGGCCTCCTCCGGCGGCTTCTTCCCGCCAGCCGGGCTTGCAGTGCCCGCGGCCCCAGGCGCCCCCTATGGGCTGCTGTCAGGGTATGCCCCGCTGTATCCGGCGCCCCAGTACCAGGGTCATTTCCAGCTCTTCCGCGGGCTCCGGGCACCCTCGTCCAGCCCCGCCGCGCCTCCCTCCTTTCTGGGCTGTCTGGCGCCCGGGACAGCAGGCGCCGGACTCGTGGGCACTTCGACAGACCCAGGCGTGATTGCCGAAGTTGTCCCGCAGAAGCGCAGCCGGCGCTCGTGGGCGAGGAAGAGGCAGGCGGCGCACACGTGCGCGTACCCGGGCTGCGGCAAGAGCTACACCAAGAGTTCCCACTTGAAGGCGCATCTGCGCACGCACACAGGTGACGGGGCGGGGCCTGCGCGGTGGTAGCTAGGTCCAAGAAGGGAGGAGCCAAGGGCAAAGTCAGACACAGGGGTCGGGGCCAAACTTCACGGAGCGAGGGGCCGGGCCAGGTAAGCGGAGAAGGTTCTTGTAAACTCAGCGGAAATTCCAGAACCCGGGGCAGGGACGCGGGAAGCGGATGGGGACAGAGAGAGCGTTTCTGTACCGGAGCCAAACGAAGAGCAGAAAACAGGACGCGTGGCGGAGGGGGCAGAGCTAGAGTAGAGACTTCGAAGAGGATGCAAGTTTGGAATGCCAGAAGCGTGGAAACCATAGCCAGGAAGGATTATGCCCAGACTCGGTTTCTTGACGTGGAGGTGGGGCCAGACATGGAGAAGGCGTGATTGAAGCCCTGCGAGTGAGGCAAGCAGCGGCCGTGTTTGTTTCTGGGGCGGCTTAGGGAGAATGAAACCCATACGTCCATGCAGGACTAGAGGATAAGAGGGAAGACTTGGGGGCCGGGGATTTAGCTCAGTGGCCCTGTTCCCTCAAGGTTCTGAGTTCAATTCCCGGTACAGCAAAAAAAAAAAAAAAAAAGAGGGAAGACTTGGCCAAAAGGACATATGAGCTAGGTGCTCTGGGAGTCCGAGGTAAGAAGAGCTCAAGTTCAAGCAACTTAATGAGACCCTATTAAAAAACAAAACAAACAAACAAAAAAAACTGAAGCCAGGTCCTGGAACCGGAAAGGATTTGGGGGCTCTGAGAGCAAGGCCAGGGGCAAGATTTGGCAGCAGCTAGAGGGCCCCCTGGTTTAAGAAAGGAGCTGGAAACGGGGCTAGACGGAGACCAGGAGTGGGGCAGTAGAAGGATGAAAGGGCAGGGAACTAGGTGTAGGAAGTGGGACAGTCAGGGGTGCAGGAGGCGCGCTTGGCCCAGGAAAGGAGAAAGTGTGCCTCAGCTGCGGGTATAAGGAAGAAGAGCCCAGGTCACTGGGTTGGCCCGGCCCTGAGAGGAAGTGGCTTCTTAAATTGTGCACCTTAGATGCCCCCTTGCCTCCCCCTAGTCCTGGCCCAGGCTGAGCAGTGGGGTCCCCCACATGCAGGGGCCCCAGGGGTTGCGGTGGGTCTCTCCCTGATACTCATGGCCTCCTTGCTTCTCAGGGGAGAAGCCATATGCCTGCTCCTGGGACGGCTGTGGCTGGAGGTTCGCGCGCTCTGACGAGCTGACTCGCCACTATCGGAAGCACACAGGCCAGCGCCCCTTCCGCTGCAAGCTCTGCCCTAGGGCCTTCTCACGATCTGACCACCTGGCTCTGCACATGAAGCGCCACCTGTGACCCTGCCCCAGGGCTGGATCCTGCCTGGGACAAGGACGGAGTGAGAAGGGATCTGTACAGTGTTGATTCCTAAGGACGAACCCTTAGCCCCCTCCACTGCACGACCCAGAAGTGACCCAGAGACAGAGCTGGGGGCCTGCAGTGGAAACTCCCACATGTCTGCAGCCACGCAGGAAACTGACAGTTACACTGACCCCCAGATCAGCAGGCTCGGTTGGACCCTCAGACCAGCCAGCGCCCAGGCAGCCCTGCTTGGGTGAGGGGGAGCGTTCCCAGACCCTGAGTCTGCAAAGGCTCCAAATCAGCTATGAATGGTTATGGGTCCCCCTAAATCCCTTTCCCGTATAAAGCTTCAGCATTGGCCTGACTCTGGGTTTTGGGTTTTGGAGGAGGCTGTACTGTTGGGAGCAGTGCTACATAATTCTAGGAAAAATCATTTGAGTAGGCCTAGTTCTCCTGCCTACAGCCCAGCTAGGACATTCCAGACATAACTGCATTTTGGCCTCTGGTCACAACTGAGACCTGAGTGATCCCCCCGGGGATGTTGCAATCTCCAGGACAAGACCACACCTGCAGGAGACGCCAGAGAGGAACCAAATCTTCATCTGCATAATTCCTCATTGTTCTTAGATTTCCACTGCCCCCCAGGTTTCTGTTACACCTTGTTTACCCCAATGTAAAGTACTGAACTCTTTTTCACTTGTTACATCTGTTTCTCCGATGTACTGAATAAAAGGTGCTGCAAGCTAGGGGTCTTTTGTCTTTGCTGCCCAGAGCAGCACTGATCAGACCCAAAGCTCAGCTTCTTCTCGGTCTCATTTTTCTACCTTTCCTGTAATTCGCCGTGTGCTGCCGTGGCTCGCAGGAGACCAGGACTCACTGCAGAGGTTCTGGTAACGTCCCCTTCCCCTGTCCCCTACACTGTACCAGCAGAAGGAACATGGGGACATGCACATTTATCTCCTACAGCTCAGCTACACCCCCTTGCCTCTTACTGCAAACCTCACCGTACCCCTACCGCACCCAAATCGTCAGGTCCCTGGTTCCAGGGTCATTCACGAGTCTCCCTCCATTAAAGAGCACTGAGCCTGAGCCTGGTATGCTGGTCCACGCTTGCAATCCCAGGACTCTGGGAAGCTGAGGCAGAAGGATCTTAAGTTTGAGCCCAGCAACTGAGTGATATCCTGTCTCAAAAAAAAAAAAAAAAAAAGTACTGGGGATCTAAGTGCAAAACTCTTGGGTTCAATCCCCAGGACCGCAAACAAAGCAAAACAAAAATCTCAGCCCAACCCCAGAGCCCCATCACCTTTTGCCCAACCACAATGCAAAGTGACCCCTTGGCTAGTTCAAGAGGAACACAGGAAAATGTGCGAAATGAAAAGGAAGAGGATCCGGAGTGTCCATTAAGAGGGCAAGGGTAGCAAGAGTTGGGCTCAGGTTCTAAGGCAATAAAGGAAAACAGTCTAAACTTATGCCTGATTCAAGAGGGAGGATCCACCTTATCCATAGATGGGAGGAACCGGGCTGGGGATCGAGGAGGCCGACCAGAGGACCGACTAGGCCAGAAGGGTCGTGGCTAAGGGAGAAACCTCTCAAGGGTGGAGCTTGCTCGCTGCAGCTCGCTCAGGCCCTGGAAGGGGCGGGGCCTGCAGGACGGAAGGAAGCCCCACCCCCAGCGCCGGAGGCTGTGGTGGAAATCACTGCCCCAGTCCGGGGGCGAGTCTCCACCCCGGGTTGCACCGGTCGGGGCTGCCGGGCAAGTTTGAGGAAGTCTGTGCGTCCGGGGCTTGTGACTGGGTCCCGTGACCCCGACACACACAGCGTTCTCCACGCAGCCACATGGTCTCGCTGGGCGCACTGCTGCTGGGCTCGCTGCTGTGGGTCCCCTGCGGGGCGCTGCGCTGCCGTGGGGACGCGGGGCAGCCCGTGGACTGGTGAGCGCAGGCGGGCAGGCGGGGAGCCTATCCTTTCTCCTCTCCATCCTCCCGTGCCTTCCCACCCTGCAGGTTCGTGGTCTACAAGCTGCCGGCTCAGAGCGGCCTGGAGGACGAGCCATGGAGGGGGCTGCGCTACCGCTACTTGGACGCGAGCTCGGGGGGCTGGCGCGAAGGCGCCGGGCCCATCAACAGCTCCAAGGGCGCCGTGGGCCGCAGCCTGCAGCCGCTGTACCAGGGCAACGCCAGCCAGGTTGGGGCCAGGCTACACCCGGGAGGGGGCTTCGGCGCCCCCGCCACGGGTGGACCTTCACGATGCCCCTCCATTGCTCCTAGATCGCCTTCCTACTGTACAATGACCAGCCCCCCAAACCGGCCTGGACTCCGGATGTTTCCAGCCATGGGCACGCGAAGGGTGAGGCCTTGATTTTGGATTTGGGACTTGGAGGCCCCAGGGACTGAATTCAGGACTTTGGCACTGAGGTACATCCTCAGCTCTTTTTAAAGAGAGACTCAAGCTGGGCGTGGTGGTGCATGCCTTTAATCTCAGTAGGATTGCTGCGAGTTTGATGCTAGCATGAACTACATAATGAGACCCTGTCTCAAAAGCAAAAAAAAAAGTCTCGCTAAGCTGTTACTAAGTGAGCTGGAACTTTCTGTCTTCCTGTCTTAGCTTCCTAGGGTGCTGGGATGAAAGGCATGCACCACTGCACCTGACTCCCAAGGTAACTTTTGACTTGCATAAAGTATGGGGACCTGCCCTGGGATCTGACAAGCCTGGACATATTTTCTTTTTTCTTTTCTTTTTTTTTGGTACCGGGGATCAAACTCGGGACCTTGCACTTGTCAGGCAGGTGGCGGAACCACTGAGCTAAATCCAGCCCACCTGGACATATTTTCTGTCTGCACCCTGTCCAAGCCCCCTGCAAACTGAAGGTGTTCTTGTTTGCTGATGAGCTTGCTTGAGGGAAAGGTCTTGAGTACCTCCAACCCCCATCTTCTGCTTTAGGCATCCTGCTTCTGGACCAAGAAGGAGGCTTCTGGCTGGTCCACAGTGTGCCACGATTCCCACCACCTCCATCTTCTGGTGCATACACCTGGCCTCACAATGCCCAAACCTATGGGCAGACCCTAATCTGTGTGTCTTTTCCCCTCACTGAGTTCACAAAGATTGGTAAGTGGGTGGGGGGCAGGGTGATGCCTGGGTCTGTGGATGAGAACTGGGAGTGACTTGGTCCAGAGCTTCCTCTTCCCCTTGTCCTCCAGGCAGGCAGCTGGCCTACATCTTCCCCTTCGTCTATAACTACAAGCTGGATGACATCTTTGCTCAGAAATTCCCTGACCTGGTAGATGTGGTCAAAGGCCAACACATTCGCCAGGAACCCTGGAACAGCAGTGTAATGCTCACGTCACAGGCAGGGACTACTTTCCAGAGCTTTGCCAAAGCTGGAAAGTTTGGAGATGGTGAGCCCGCTGGCTGAGGGATGATGAGTTCTTCCTTTGCAGAGGGGCTGTCTGGTGGGTCAGGGGCTTTGGGCAAGCCAGGGACAGGGACCAGGTCTCTTTGGAAACCATAATCATGAGAGGCAACCAACTGACACAGCTGGGTCCACATATTGGCTTCTGGGTGAGTGTATATGATTTAACCTGAGCCTCAGTTTACTTATCTAAAAAGTGGGGATTCTACCATAAAAAATTGTTGTGAATGAAGCAATGCTCATAAAGGATTTGGTAAGGGCTCGTCGCACCATTCTGGGAGTTGCTGAGAACTGACCCTTGACCTCAGAGAAGTGACCTAGGGAATCTGTAGAGGGGCCCTGTCCTGTCCCTCCCTATACTTTTTCCCTCCTCCACAGATCTGTACTCTGGCTGGTTGGCAGAAGCTCTTGGTATGGACCTACAGGTTCAATTCTGGCCGAACTCTCCAGGTACCCTGCCATCCAACTGCTCCGGTCCCTGGCAAGTTCTGAATGTGAATCAGACAAGCTTTCCTGGGCCAGCTGGACCAACCTTCCGTGCCTCAGAGGACCACTCCAAGTGGTGTGTGGCCCCAAGAGGGTCCTGGGCTTGCGTGGGTGACATGAATCGCAACCATGGAGAGGAGCGTCGGGGTGGGGGCACATTGTGCACCCAGCTGCTAGCCCTCTGGAAGGCCTTCCAGCCTCTGGTGAAGGCCATCGATCCGTGTGAGGGAGACCCCAGGGTCAGGAAGTCAGGAGAGCAAAGAACAAAGACTCAGGAACCAGTCTGGACTTGAGTTTGCCTGTTTGTTCTTTTTGCAGTGCTAGGAATGTGCTCTACATTGAGCTGCACCCAGTCCTGGACTTAAAGTTTGAATCCCAGTTCATCTCCCTCCTTGTGTGACCTTATGTACCTTATCCTATCTGTGACTGTCTGTTCATCTGCAAAATGAAAATCATATCATGTACCACTCAGGATCATTGAGGAAAAAAAGGAAATTGGTGAATAAAGCTGTTAACCTTTCTTCAGGTGGGCGTGGGACACAGATCAGATCAGTGTTGCAATCTTTACTTTTTGTTGTTTTGTTTTATTTGCACTGGAGACTGAACCCAGTGCCTTCACACTGCACTATATTCCCACCCTCACCCCCCATCCCCCAACATGCTCTCACTATATCACTGTTACCCAGGCTGGGCTCAAACTTGAGATCCTCTTGCTCAGCCTTCCAGAGTGCTGGGATTACAGCCACACTGGCCTTCCTCTATGGTTCTTCTTTTTTTTTTTTTTGTAAGACAGGTTCTCACTATGTAGTTCATCTTGGCCTTGAACTCAATATGCAACCAACCTAGGCTGGCATCAAATTCACGGCTATATTCCTTCCTCAGCCTTCCCAGGGACACCCAGCTCCTCTATTGTTCTTTTATGCAAGCCAGGCGGTGTCATCACTAGGCTAAATCCCTGGCCCTCCTTTATTTTTTATTTTTTTTTTTGGTACCGGGGATCGAACTCAGGTCCTTGCGCTTGTGCAGCAGGCGGTGAAACCACTGAGGTAAATCCCCGGCCCTCTTCCTTTATTGTTCTTAAGGGCCTGGGGGCAGCAGGTACAAAGGTGAGAAATCAGAGGTTCAGGACCCTAGGAACACACGTTTCCTCTCCCAACCAGTCCAGGGGCCAGGGCCCAGGTGCACTTGATGACTTGCCAGGGAAGAAAGTGAGCCCTAAAAGCTCGCGCAGTACGGACACACTTTATTTATATGTGTACAATGTATACAGGTGGCTGTACAGAAGGACCAACGACCTCCTTGGCTATGGGCCTGGGGGTGCACAGCTGGACACCCCTTTTTTGGTCAAGCCTGCTGGAGACACAGCTTCAGCAGGGACCCTAGAGCTCAGGCCTGCATCAGGTTTGGTGCTGGGGACAAGGAGGGAAGCAGTTGGGGCTGGAGACCCTGTGCTGCTGCTGGGGGCATTCTTCGTGGGGGCTGGGGTCGGGGTCTGGGGGTCTGGGGAGAGCTTGGGGGAAGCAGGCTTGGAACGGGGCCCGCTCAGCATGGTCCGGTTCTCCACCACCTCCAGCACCCAACGTTCCTGGCCCCGCGGGACCTCAGGTGGCAAAGTTGCCTGGGCCGCAGGTTCCTGCAGTGCCTTGGGGTGGTCCATGCCTGGAGGTTGAAGCGCCTGGGTTTTGACCCCAGGCCGCGCGGGCTCCACGACGATGGGCACCGGAGGTGTGCTGGCTTCGCCCGAGCTGCTGCGCCGACCAGTCTCATGTTCCTGCACCGGGCTCAGTGCCGCCTTAGCCACAGCCCTGGCCATCCCGCCCGTGCTCGTGCCGTCCTCTGTCTGCACGCCCTGATGTCGCGTGCCGCCCGTGTCCCGCTCCAGGGTCCGGGCGCCCGGGGTGATCGCGCGGGGCGGGGTGCAGGCCTCGGCCCCACCACCAGGGGACTCCCTGTCCCTGCTCGAGGTCCCCAGCCTAGGGGTACCCTCAGGCGGCAGCGGGTCCGCGCCCAGACTCAGGGGCGACTCCTGGCGGCCCAGGCGGCGCACGGCGACTTGCCGCGCAGCGCCGGGTCCCTCGGTGGGCGGGGTCTCGCCATCAGACTCCGCGAGGCTGTGCAGAGCCAGCTCTCCGTGGAAATCCTTTCGGAAGTCGGGGTGGCCCACCTCCAGGCTGTGTTTGCGTAGCGCTCCCTTCTTGTCGGCGCTCAGAGAGGCGCCCAGCTTCTCTGCTGACTGCACGCGCTTGAGCAGCGGAGAGCGCGGAGGCTCTGCGCTTTTGGGGCGGGGGCGCACGACCGGCGGCGACGAGTGTAGCTTGGCTGGGAAGCTCTGCGTGGTGTGCGAGCTGCCCACGGTGTGGCCTGGCAGCGGAGGCGGTGACGCCTGCGTAGGGGACGGCGTGTGTGCCAGAGGCGACAGCGGGATGTTGCCAGCCGACTTGCAGCGTGCAGAGCGGTACTGGCGGTGCAGTTTGGGCGATAGCCCATGCAGCGTGCTGGGCCGGATGTGGTGCGACGCAGACGACGCTGGCGAGTTGGGCGTGCTCGAGGCAGGCGAGCTGCTCTGAGATGAGGCACCTGCGGGCCAGAGGGGGCGCACGGCTCAGAGAGGTCCTCCGGCAGCGCCACCCCGCGCCACGCAGGGCCCCATGCAGAGCTACCTAGGTAGGCGGAGTCCGGCGTGGAGCGGTAACTGTGCGTGGGTGAGCGCGCGGGCAGACCGTGCGTGGGGGAGCCTGGGAGGCTGTCGCTGGACGACAAGGAGCGGTTCAGTGACGACAGCGAGCGGCTTGTGTGCAGCAGGTTCGACTGCTTCGTGATCTTCCTGAAGAGGGAGCTACGCTTCTTGCTGGGAGATAGGGAGATGGCCGCCTACCCTCGGCCAGACTCCAGAGTTCCTGCCTCCTCCCACTTCTGGGCGGCAAGATGGCCGCTGTAAGCTCCCACCCCTTTTAGTTACAACCTTTGCCTCCCTCCCTCCCTCCCTCCCTCCCTGACTCCCTCCCTCCCTTTCCCTTCCTTTCTTTCCCTTTCTTTCTTTCTTTCTTCCTTCCTTCCTTCCTTCCTTCCTTCCTTCCTTCCTTCCTTCCTTCCTTCCTTTCTCTTCCCTCCTTCTTTTCTTTCTGAGGCAGGGTCTTACTATGTAGCTCAGGCTGGCTCAAACTCACGGTGATCCTTCTGCCACAGCTTCCCCAATGCTGGGATGACAGGTGTCACTACCACACCCAATTTAGCCACAATCTTTCAGTCAAGACAGAACTTTAAAAAAAAAAAAAAAGAACTTCCCTGGGCTCAGTCCCGCTTTTCTCCTCCCATCCGTTCTGGACACACCCAGTTCAGGCTAGAAGCACCAATCCAAATAAAACCAACTCCCTCTGCCCCCCCCATCCTTAGCTCCTCCTTCCGCTGCAACCCACTTCTTAGGGTTAACTCACTTGACAGCCTTATCTGGCTCATATTCAGATCCCCACTTGATGTCCAGACCAAATCCACTGATCAAAACAACACTCTAGAGCTGGGGTGTAGCTCAGTGGTTGAGTGCTTGGCTCACATGCAAGAGGCCATGGGTTTCACCCCTAGTACTGGACAACAAAATATAAAACCAAAGCCCTTCAGGTCGCATCTGCCTCTCCTAGCTCCTCCAATCAATAAGGAGAGAAATTACAGCCATGCAGCGCACAGACAGCTCAAGGAAGACCACGAATACCACAATATCCCCATGTCTGTGTCGTCTAGTGGAGTCATAGTTCTGAGGTGTAAAAGGTCATTCTATGATCGAACAAGCAGGAAATATAGCAGCACACTTACCAGAAAGCATCCTGTCCTTAAGCAAGCATGACTACTTCAGTTGGCATAGTCTTTCCTGGCACACTCATTCCTGATAAAGATCTCTTAGGCTAGCCCCTCCCAGGCTGTCCAAACACATCTAACAGGGCACAACTTGTGACTGGACTCCCCCCTCCCACAACCCCACATCTATGGCCCACAATGCTTTCTGCTTGGTTTAGAAGTTGGACATAGCTTCCTGTCTCAACTTCTTGCACTTTTCCAGCTCCTCTTAACTCATTGGTCTCAGTGGCAGCATCCTACTGTTGTCCTCCCCTAGATCCCTGCCACCTTGGCCCCACTTACTGCTTAGAACCTGGACTGACTAGGGCCCTGCCTACCTCTCCTGGCCTTCCTTGGCAGAGGGCCTCTTGTTCCTCCTTGCCATTTTGGCTTTGTAGCTGCTGCGCCTTGCAGGGCCAATACGGATGGAAGTATTTTCAAAAGGTGTGGTGGTCACAGCCACCTTGTTGCCACTCTAGGGGAAGAAGGGAAGGAATGCTTTTCAGGTGGCTGCTCAGAACCGGGCCACCTCCACCCAGTGCGCCCTCCCTGCTCTTACCTTAAGGATCAGCTCCACAACCTCAGGATGCACCATGCCGTGCACAGGCTCCCCATTCACGTGAGTGATGAGGTCCCCGGCACAGAGCCCTGCTTCTTGGGCAGGGCCCCCTTCCTCCACATGCTGGGGACAAGGGTAGCGAGATTGGTTATAAGCTTATGTGCCACACACGTGGTTTAGATGCATTCTAGTTTTCATGACACTTTATGAAATAGTCACTTTTCTCCCCATTTTATAGATGAAGAAATTGAAGGTCGGAGAGATAGGTGAAAGAGGGAGTCACGAAAGAATTTCACCCAGACCGCGTAGCTTCAGAACTTGAACTCTTCCTCATCCCTGGGTACTTGTCTACTCACCCTTGGATTCAAGCCCCATCCAGAAGCACTCACCCAAACAATGTGGTGGACACTGTAGACATCAGAGTCACCCATGTAGACGCGGATGGCTCGAAGTGTGAAGCCATACTTCTTGCCTGATCGTTGGATGGTGATGGGGGAGCGGAGTCCACTGACAGCTGGAGAGTAGTCCCGGCTGGGTGAGGAGTCCCGGGAGGAGGGATTGGAGGAGAGAGATCGTGGGGACATGGGACTAGCAAGGGGTGAACTTCCATGTGGGTCCACTGCAGACACAGAATCATGGTCAAATGTCAGGACCAACTAGACATAGTGCTCTAATATCTGCTCTTCCCTCCTCCCAAGTGAAAGTCCCAGAGCAGATTCTCATTGATCCCTCCTGGAATCAATCACTGTGGACAGGGAAAATGCAGTATTTTCACTGACTGCCCATCCCCTGTGAAATCATTGGTCCATCCTAGAATCAATCACTATGGACAGGGAAAATGTATTTTCATTGGTCTATCCTGGCTCAAAAGCAGGCATTCCTTGGAGACTGGATAAAGAAAATGTGTGTTTTTTAAAAAAATAAAATGGAGTACTACTCAGCCATAAAAAATGAGAAATTAGAGACATTTATAGCTAAATGGATGCACATTGAGGCCACACTCTTAAGTGAAATAAATAGGACACACATGTGTAAATACCGAATAGTTTCTCTGGTGTGAGAAACTGAAAGTGTAAATAAGGACTAAAAGGTAAATAGATAATGTGAAATAGAAAGAAAAGGGGCAAAGGGGAAGGGGAAGTGGGAGAGGAAGGGGAAAGGAAAGAAGGGAATGGAATTAATATGAGAAAATGGAAAATTGGAAACAAAGTCTTTGTAAATAGGGAGGGATGGAGGGGTTGAAGGGAGGGAAGGGGAAGGGGAAAAATAAGAACCAAGAGAGACTATGTAAAGGTGCAAATTTCCAATGATGAATGACATTATATTGTAAACCTAAAATGTACCAATGATTAGAATGAATATTTGATAATGCGAAATAGGAAGAAAAGGTCCAATGGGGTAGGGGAAGTGGAAGGGGCAGGGGAAAGGAAAGAAGGGAAAGGAAAAATTATGAGAAATGGAAACAAAGTCTTTGTAAATACGGAAGGGTGGAGGGGGTGAAGGGAGGGCTGGGAATGGGGAAAAAAATAAGAACCAAGATTCATCATGTAAAGGTACAAGTTCCCAATGAGAAATGTAAATGTATTGTATACCTAAAATGTACCAATAAAAGAATTAAAAAAAAAAAACAAACGCAGGCATTCCTGATGGTTCCAGCCCGGCATTACCTGCAGGAATCATGACAGACAGGGCAGTGGCTGAGGCTGACTTGATGACTTTGCCCCCAGTTCGAGAAGGCCGCTTTTCTACTGCCGGGTCCCCTGACAGCTGCTGGTGCCGTGCCCTGCGCAGAACCAGGTCATTGGTGGCCCTAGGGCCTGATGAGTCCCCTTCCTTTGAGGGCGGGCAGAGGTCACCTGGGCGTGGGCGGTCAGCTGCAGGAGAGTATGTGGGTTAGAGATCAATCTACGGCCAGGGACTTTGAGCATGCTGTTCTTCTGCCCAAAGTGCTCTTCCCATGCCCCTCCCCTGCTGGGTTGTGAGCTGCATTGGAGCAGAGCGTTCAGCGTAGTCTCGGGTACAGAGGAGGAAGGACTGGGCCAGGGATGTAGCTCAGTGGCACGGCACCTGCGTGGCAAGCGCAAGGTCCTGAGTTCGATCCCCGTTACCAAAAAAAAACCGGGGCGGGGGGGAGGCAAGCTTTTGCGTGCGTGGTACATGGGTGTTCCTAATATTAATGGAGTCTTGGGTTGGAGTGTGAATAGCATGTGAGATATTTTATAAACAGCATCAGCCTCATTATGCACTGAATTATATCGCCGCTGGGTAATTGGGAAGGGCAGCAGGAGGGAGGACTTACTGGCTTCGGAATCCCCGGCACTGCAGGCGGCTTCCCCTGGAGCCCCCTCTTTGGGCGCCCGCGCCTCCAGTGAGCCTGGGAGATCGGAGCCAGGCCGGGGCGGCCTGCGCAGACGGGCCTCATCTTCGTCCTCCTGCGGGGCGTTGAAGCGGCTAGGCTCCAGCAGAGCTGAGAACCTGCGATGCGCGCCCAGCGGGGGGCTGGCCTCGCCCTCCAGGAAGCTGGCCTCAGAGGCTGAGAAGCGCTTGCTGCGGAGGGGGCGTGGTCAGCGGAGACACGCCTCCTGGCTTCCCCGCCCCCATCCCCACCCTGTCCTGCTCACATCTCGGGGGAGCCCCCTCTCCAGGTCTTCTCGCGCAGGGTCAGGCCGCCCAGCCCCTCCCGCTTGCCGGCCACCTTCTCCTCTGGACCCTTGCTGCTCGGTTCCCGCTTGGTGCCCCCTGCTGCCGCTACTGGGGTCCTGGGCTCGTGCTGTGACAGCTGCTCCATGCTGCTGTACACCTGCAAGGGGGTGGGTCATGCCTTTGCTCGAGAGCCAATCAGCTTCCTACCCCTGGACCTGCCAAAACCAAGCTCCACCCAAGTCGATTCAAGCGCTGCCTATAAGTTAGGCCCCACTCCCATCAATCTAGCCCCACTTAACTTCCCAGGCCCCTAACCAATGCACGTGTCCCCTCACCCTGGCTGGGCCTTGTCCCTCTTCAATGCTCCTCAATCGGCCCCGTCCGCTCCCCGTATCCCAACCCGCCGTTCTTTTTTTCTTCCAGTACTGGGATGGAACCCAGAGCCTTCGCCCTGAGCTACCTCCCCAGCCCTTAATTTTAGATGTTTTTTATTTTGAATCAGAGTTTTGCTAAGTCACTAAATTACCCTCGCCCTCCCTAAGTGCTGGAATATCCCCTGGCTCTACCAGGTCAAGACCTAACTTCAGGGCCGGGGATTTAGCCCAGTGGTTCCGTCACCTGCTTCGCAAGCTCAAGGACCCGAGTTCGATCCCCGGTACCAAAAACAACAACAACAACAACAACAACAACAACAACAACAACAAAAAGACCTAACTTCATGCCAGGAGGCCTCCTCTACATGACTCTCCAAGTTCCCGTTACTCCTCTCAATGCCGAGGACCTGTACCTCAAACCCTCATGCTGTCTCCCCCAGGCATCATCATTCCTGGGTCCCCTTCCCCAGTAACGGTCCAGTATAAGACCGCGGGTCCTAGGGCTGGGCTGTCACCTCCATCTGCTCCCCACAACCTCGCCCACTTGAGCCCCGCCCACCCCAAGCCCAGCCTGGCCCCACCTTGCTAAAACGCGGGGAGCAAGAGGAGAACTGGCGGATCTCCACGGGCTCCTCTTCTGTCGTGTCATCTTCGTCATAGGAGTTCACGTGGTGATACCTGTCAGAGCGGGCTGGGGAGGAGTGCAGGCCGTGACTTCGGGCAACAACAGTTCACACCTCCAAGCAGGATCCAGTTCAGCCAGGCCTGCAGCTCAGGCCAAAGCTGAGTCCAGGCTCCGCCCCAGCCCAGGTCCCAGCCCCTTTGTCTAGCTCCGCCCCAGAGAGACCACGCCCCCAGATCCCACCCACAGCGCTCCAAGCCCTGGCTCCTCTTTCTCTTGGAAGGTCAGGTCCAGGCCTGACCTTGACCTGTCCAGGTTGCACCCTTACCTCAGTTCTTACCTGGTTCATGTGTGTGTGTGCATGCGCGTGCACGTGTGTGTGTGTGTGTGTGTGTGTGTAGATTGATTCTAGGGCCTGCATGCGCACTGAACTACAACTCCAACCTTTTTAAAAATTCTCTATTTTGAGACAGGGTCTCACTAAGTCGGTAAGTTACCCAAGCTAGGTTCAAACTTTCAATCTTTCTGCCTCAACCTCCCAGAGTGCGGGGATGATAGGTGTGTGCCACACTCCCTGCTCCTACCTAGTTTTTTGTTTTTTGTTTTTGGTACTGGGGATCAAACTCGGGATCTTGCGCTTTCGAGGCAGGTGCCGGAACCACTGAGCCACGGAGCTAAATCCCCGGCCCGCCTACCTAGTTTTTAGCTTAGGTTTCAGTTTAGCCTCGCCCCAAGGCTGGACCACGCCCCCATTTGCCCTGCGGGGGGCCCCCCCCCTTCATCCAGGTGTCCTCCGCTCCCTTCCCAGCCTGCACCAGGCCTGCCTAGGCCCCACTCACTGTCGAAGTAGCTCGTGTCATCTTCTGACTCCAGCTGGGGGATGAACTCAGCCTTCTGCCTCAGCAGTCCTGTCCAGTCCAGGTCTCGGAAGAAGCTGTGCTGCTTGACCTCAAAAGCGCCGCCTGGGAGAGAAGGGATGTGGTGGAAGCCTATGACTGCCTGTCACCCGCTGACTTCCGCCCCAGGGCGGTGTATTGGGCTGGCCCAGGGTCAGTGTCCTGCTCCCTACACACAGGCCTGACCTGCTCCTAGCCGGACCAGTGGGTTGGTCTGCAGGAGGCTGGATATCAGGAGCTGGGCGTCTGCAGGCAGTGCCTCATCCCCCTCAGGCCACAGGATGTCATCTGCAAGGCACCATGGAGCTGAGGGTGGCTTGGGCGGCTATGGGGCCCAGCCAGCCAAGCAGGAGGCACGTACCACTGATGACCTGTCCAAAGAGCTCTTCCGGTGTGTCCCCGAAGAAGGGCACGCAGCCCACCAGGAACTCGTAGAGGATGATCCCCATGGCCCACCAGTCTACCGGCTTCCCATAGCCCTGGCGCAGGATGACCTCGGGTGCGATGTACTCAGGGGTCCCGCACACCTGGGGGCAGGTGGTCAGCCCACGCCCCAGTCACAGGGGGGCCTCCAGCAACACCATGGCCCCCACCAGGCCATGGGTCCCTGGGTCCTGCCGGGCAGCTCCACCCTAAGGACCCCCATGCCTGCAACACACCTGTTTGTCCAGGAACTCCCGGGCATCCTTCTCAATGTGGCCTTCGTACAGGTTGGTGGTCAGGCTCATGAGCCCCATTTTGGATAGGCCAAAGTCAGTGAGTTTGATGTGGCCCATGGAGGTGATGAGCAGACTGCAGACATGGGCAGGTCTCAGGGGTAAGGCCATGCAGCCCTGGCCCCAGGGGCAAGGAGGAAGGGATGGGCAAGGTCAAACTCACTTGTCCGGCTTGAGGTCGCGGTGCACAATGCCGTAGTTGTGCAGGTACTCCAGCGCCAGCACCGTCTCAGCGAAGTACATGCGGGCCATCTCCACAGGCAGCGCCCCAATATTCTTCAGGAGGGTGGCACAGTCACCGCCTGCAGGGCAGGTGACAGGGCCATGTGACAAGGGAAGAATCTGGGGCCAGAGCTGACCACAGGACATGAACCATAGCACCAACAATCACATTCCATTGCACTCATTTTGCAGATATGGAAAAAAGAGGCACAGAGAGAGGCCTCTCTCTTCCTCAGTTGTGCAGGGAGTTGCCCTTTTCCGGGCTTCTCTTTTCTTCCTCCTCTCTCTCTCTCTCTCTCTCTCTCTCTCTCTCTCTCTCTCTCTCTGAGACAGGGTCTTGCTAAGTTATAGAGCTGCCCAGCAGGATGGGCTTGAACTTGCAATTCTCCAGCCTCATCCTCCCACAGTGCTGAAATTAGAGATGTGCACCACCAGACCACCATACCCAGCTTGTTTTATTTCTGCAGTGCTAGGAATTGAATTTAGGGCCTTTTGCATGCTAGACAAGCACTCTACCACCAAGCTACCATGCCGGTTCCAACACTGATATTGTAGTTTCCCCAATATCTATTCCTCCCTTTCCTTCCAAGGGCTAGATTTCCTGCCAGGCTTAGTACTTGGGTCAGCAAGGCAGGTTGTTCCAGGGAGTAGCCCTTAGAATTTTTGTACTTTCATCACAAAGATAGCTGAACTCATAGATGGAATCTGGGATCTGCTGGGTGGCAGCCAGCCTAATCAGGAGTTGTCTGAGAAAACCCACACATGGGAGAGAAGTGCCAGGAGCTAACAGATTCCTGATGGGGTGGTTAGAGCACCTGGATACAGCCATTCCTGAAGGCGATACCAATTTTTTGATTCCATGAATCAATACATTTCTTTGTTTCCTTTCTTCCTTCTTTTTCCTTGAGCTAGATTTAGGTGGCTTTAGACTCTGAGGGCAAAGTGTAGGAATCTGCATTTAGCCACAACCCCAAGTAATTCTGACATACAATTTATGCTGAGAACCCAGCTGTGGTGACTTGGGTTATTTATTTTATTTTATTTTTTTTTGGTACTGGGGATCGAACTCGGGTCCTTAGCTTGCAAGGTAGGCGGTGGAACCACTGAGCTAAATCCCTGGCCCATTTATTTTAATTTTAATTTAATTTAATTTTATTTTATTTTTTTGTGCCGGAGATCGAACTTGGGACCTTGCGCTTGCGAGGCAGGCGCTGGAACCACTGAGCTAAATCCCCGGGCCTTTATTTTTATTTTTTGAGGCAGGATTTTGCTATGTAGTTCAGGCTAATCTTCAACTCACTATGTAGCCCAGGCTGGCCTCGAACTCACAGTGATCCTCCTGCCTTAGCCTCCCAAGTGCTGGTATTACAGGTATGAACCACCACACCCAGCTAGGGTGACTTGTGCATGAATGACACCTCAGGCCCAGCCCATGCCCAGGAGGCCCTGAGGACAGCACTGCAGAGTGTGTCACTCACCAAAGAGATCTCTCAGTCCCACCCACTCATCACTGGGATTGCAATAATCTCCATGGCCTGGTCTCCCTGCTTCTGCCCCACTAAAGCAGACAAATGGATTTCTGGTTTTTGGTGGTAACGCTGGGGATAAAACCCAGGGCCTCACACATACTAGGCAAATGCTCTACCACTGAGATACACCCCCAGCCCTTTTAAAATTTTCTTCTGAGAGGACTGGGGATGTAGCTCAGTGGTACCAAAAAAAAAAAAAAAAAGGAAGTAAAATTTTCTTCTGAGACAGGGTCTCAGACGGCGGAACCACTGAGCTAAATCCCTGGCCCAAAACTTTCCAGTGGCTTCTGCCGTATTTGGAGTAAGATCCAGAGCCATCCAGGCTGGGAAAGGCCTGCATGCTCAGCTCACTCTCTCTCCCTCCTCTTCCCCTCTTTAACTAGGCTCCAGATCTACTGGCTCCTTGCTATTCCTCCAAATCCATATTCCAACCAGGTGTGGCGGCACACACCTATAATCCCAGTACTTGGGAGGCTGAGGGAGGAGGACTGATGTGAGTTTGAGGCTGGCCTGGGCTACATAGTGAGACCTTGTCTCAACCCCCCCCCCCAAAACACCAAAAACAAACCCCACCACATTCCAGAGTCATCTTCCCTGGTATAACATAGGCCTCACAGAAGACCCTGCCAGCCACCTCACCACCTCCTCCTTCAGCCTCCTGGTCTTGCTCTCCTCTCATAAGGAGCAGAATTTAAACAGTGCCCAGAGCAGAAGGTGGCATGAGGGAGACCACAGGGACACTTGCTGAGTGACTGGAAGGTTGGCTAAAGCTTGGAGGTGGCACAGATGTGCCCTACAATGTCACACAACTGTTCAGGTAAACACAGGGCATGTGTGATGGGGTGGACAGGTTGCTGCCAAGGTGGAAGGATAAATGGATCGATGGGTTCATGGAGGGAGCTAATTAGCTATGATAGAGAGATGAATAGATGATAAGTAGAAGTAAAAAGGGGCTGGGGATTTAGCTCAGTGGTCTGGCCACCTGCTGTGCAAGTGCAAGGACCCGAGTTCAATCCCGGTACCAAAAAAACCCCAACCAACCAAATAAATAAATAAATAAATAAAAGTAAATGGTATAAATATATGAGAGGGATCATTTATAACAAAGGCAGGTGACAGTGTAACAGAAAGATAGATGATAAATAGATATAATAGAGAGATGGATGATAGATAATAGCACAATATAGAGATAGAAGCCAGGCATATTGGTGCACAACTGTCTTCCCACAACTCTACAAGGCTGAGGTAGGACAATTGAAACTTTGAGCCCAGCTTGGGCAATTTAGTGACTTACTGAGACTGGTCTCAAAATAAAAAGTAACTAAAAAGGTCAGGGGATGTAGCTCAGTGTGAAGGTCCTGGGTTCAATCCCCATTACAGAGAGAGAGACAGATTGAGAGAGAGAGAGAGAGAGAGAGAGACAGAGGGATAGATGATAGATAATATAGTAGAGAGATAAATAGATGAATGAGATGGATATTAAAATATAAGTTTAAATGAATAAAGAAAAATATGGGTAGTAACTGAGCACAGCGGTACAGGCCTAAGATCCCAGCTACTGGGAAAATGGAGACAGAAGGATCCTGGGTCCAAGCTCAGCCTGGACAACTTAGTGAGACCCTATCTCAAAAAACAATTTAAAGTCAGGGGCGGTGGTGCACCTCTGTAATCCCAGCACTCAGGAGCCTGAGGCAGGGGCATCATCCAGAGTTCAAGGCCAACCTGAGCTAAACAGTGGGTTCAAAGCCATCCTGAACTATATAGCAAACCTTGTCTCAAAAAAATAAAAATAAATAAATAAAATAAAATTTTATTTATTTATTTATTTATTTATTTATTTAGGTACTGGGGATCGTACTCAGGTCCTTGCGCTTGCAAGGCAGGTGCCAGAACCACTGAGCTAAATCCCCGGCCCCATAAATAAAATTTTTAAAGGGCTGAGGTTATAGCTCAGTGGTAGAGCCCTTGCCTAACACCAGTGAGGGCCTGGCTTCAAATCCTAGTACTGCAAAAAAACAAGAAAGTAGTAGGGCTGGGGATTTAGCTCAGTGGTGCCTCTGCCTGCCTCAAAAGTACAAGGGCCTGAGTCTGATCCCTGGTACCAAAGAAAAAAAGTTAATTAATAATTAATTTAATTAATTAAAAAACAGGTGCATGGATGTAGGGCTGGATAAGTAACTATAGCTGGAACTGGAAGGAGGCTGGCTGGCTGGTGGGAAAACTAATCACCGGGTGAGTGGATCTATATTGAATGAAATGAAAACCAGATAGGTACAAATAAATAGGGGTGACAGATGAACAGGTCCATGGCTGGAAGTGTAAAAAGGGAAGACAAAATGGTTGTGGTGGTGTATGCTTGTAATCTCAGCACTTGGGAGGCAGAGGCAGGAGGATCACCACAAGTTCAAAACTACCCTGGGCTGAGGATTTAGCTCAGTGGTTCCACGGCCTGCCTCGAAAGCACAAGGTCCCGAGTATGATCCCCTGATCCCTGGTACAGAAAAAAAACCAGCCTGGTGTATATAGTGAGTTCAAGGCCAGCCTGGACTACAAACACAAGACCCTGCCTCAAAAATCCAACAAACAGGCCCAGGGATTTAGCTCAGTGGTTTCACCGCCTACTGCGCAAGTGCAAGGACCCGAGTTTGATCCCTGGTACAAAAAAAAAACAGGACCAGGGATTTTAGCTCAGTGGTGCTGCTGCCAGCCTCATGAGCACAAGGTCCTGAGTTTGATCCCTGGTACCAAAAAAAAATCAAACAAACAAAACAAAACAAAAAAAGGTTGGGGGAGACAGACAAAAAAGGCTGGGCATACTGGCCCAGTCCCATAATCCCAGATTTCAGGAGGCTGAAGCTGGAGGATCACCTTGAGTTCAAGGCCAGCCTGATCTATATGATGAGACCCTGTCTCCAAGAATAAGCCAGCCAGTCGATGTGCAGCTGCTGTCTGCAGTTTGACAGGCACACACCTTCTACATACTCCATGACCATGCAAAGGTGGCGCCGCGTCTCAAAGGAGCAGAACATGCCAACTACGAAGGGGTTCTCAGCGAAGGTGAGGATGTCACGCTCCACAAAGGCCTGCTGGATTTGGTTCCGGAGTATCAGGTTCTGCTTGTTGATTTTCTTCATGGCAAAGCGCTGCCGCGTGTCACGGTGCCGCACTAGGTAGACAGCCCTGCGGGGGAGACAGGACCAGTGTTAGCTCTGGGACACTGCCCTGCCCGCCTGCCAGAGCCCCAGGTGGCTCACCCATAGGCCCCATTGCTGATGAGCTTGATGGTGTCAAAGTCGTTCTCCCCAGGGGGCTTCTTGGCCTTGGAGGTACTGCCACGACCCTGCAGGAAATACAGAGAGTCCCGCTACCATCATGGGAAGGACTTCTGTTACTCCATTTTACACATAGCGAAACTGAGGCACAGAGAGTGAGTGGGTCCTTCAAGTGCCACAGTGAGGAAATGACAGGATTTTAAGAGCTAGGTGTGGCGGCACAGGGCTGTTATCCTAGCACTCCGGAGGCTGAAGCAGGAGGATCACCACCAGCTTGAGGCCAACCTGGGCTGCATAGTGAATTCACAGCCAGCCTGAACTACATAATGAGACCTTGCCTCAAACAAACAAACAAACAAACAAAAAAACCCTTGCAACATGGATAATCAGTCTAATGTGTACGTACATAAAAAGTTCTCAGAAACCAATAACAAGAAACCTAGGGCCTGGATTTAGCTCAGTGGTTCTGCTGCCTGCCTCGCAAGTGCAAGGACCCGAGTTCGATCCCTGTACCAAAAGAAAGAAAGAAAGAAAGAAAGAAAGACAGAAAGAAAGAAAGAAAGAAAGAAAACTTCCAAGGTTTGGGCTGGGGATTTAGCTCAGTGGTTTTGTCGCCTGCTGTGCAAGCTCAAGGACTCAAGTTTGACCCCCAGTACCAAAAAAAAAAACCAAAAAAAAAAAGAAAGAAACCTAAAAACTGAAGAGAAAAAGAGGGGGCCAAGTCTGAGTTCATAAACACAAGATCTCACTAGGCATGGTGGCATCTGCCCAGAATCCCAGTACTTGTGAGGCTGAGGCAGGAGGATCACAAGTTTGACTCCAGCCTGGGGAATTTAGTGATTTAGTGAGTTTTTGCCTCAAAATAAAAAAATAAAAAAGAATGGTGATATAGCTCAGTGCAACAGCCCTACATTCAATCACTAGTACTGCAACAACAACAAAAAAGTACATCTCCCATGAAAGCCATTCTGGTATAGGTCAGATATAAAATGTGTGTTCCCTTTGACCCAGCAACTTTAATTTTGAATGTGGGCTGCAGATATGTGTGTACATATACTATCTTGCTTATTGCAAGCCTGTTTCCATCTATAGGAAACTGGTTCAATAAATACTTAAGGGCCATTCATATAAAGGAATATTATGTCACTGTTACAAAGAATGGACTGTAATCCCAGCTACTTGGGAGGCTGAGGCAGGAGGATTGAAGTTTGAGGCCAGCCTGTTTAACTTAGTGAGACCTTGTCTCAAAATAAAATAAAAAGGGCTGAGTGCATAGCCCAGTGGTAGAGCTGTAGCCTAACACACATAATGCCATTGGGTTCAATCTCCAACACTGCTAAAACAAAAGCCAATCCAGGTGTGGTGGCACACGCCTGTAATCCCAGAATTTGGGAGGCTGAGACAGGAGGATCAACAAATGTTCAAGGCCAGCCTGGGCTACATAATGGGTTTCAGGCCAGCCTGAACTACATAGGGAGACCTTGTCTCAAAAAACAAAAAAGTAGGGGCTGGGGATTTAGCTCAGTGGTTCTGCCGCCTGTCTCACAAGCGCAAGGACCTGAGTTCGATCCCTGGTACCAAAAAAAAAAAAAAGAATTAAAGGGAGACACTGAAAATGTGGTATTTACACACAATGGTATTCATACTCTGCCATTAAGAAAGACAAATGAGTCATTTGTAGGAAAATGAATGTGCCTCGAGACCATAATGTTAAATGAAATAAATCAGACACACAAGCTTAAACATTATGAGGTTTCTCTTACATGAGAAGCCTTAATTATAAGTAAAGGGCAAAACAAAAGACAATAGAAAGTAAGGAGACAGGGCCGGGGATTTAGCTCAGTGGTTTCGCCAGGACCCGAGTTCGATCCCTGATACCAAAAAAAAAAAAAAGTAAGGAGATAGGTCTTTCTTAAAGGGGAAAGGTATCAAAGAGATGGAAGGAGGGCCAGGGATTTAGCTCAGCGTGCGAGGCAGGTATGGTGCCACTAAGCTAAATCCTCGGCCCTGGAGGCCCATTTTTTAAACCAGGCATGGTAACACATGCCTGCAATTCCAAAGACTCAGGAGGCTGAGGCAGGAGAATGGCAAGTTTGAAGCCAGCCTGAGGAACTCAGCAAGGCCCAATCTCAAAATAAAATTTTGAAAAAGGACTGAGGATATAGCTTAGAGGTAAACCACTTGGATTCTAGCCACAGTACTATCCTCCCAAAAGAGAAAAAGAAGCAAAATATAACTATGTCACCATATTTGGAGGATACAGAGTAATTGGAGTCAAAGGTGGGAGTAACATTTTTTACTGTATATCATTTTGTTTTTAAGGTTTTTGAGTCAGGGTCTTGCTATATAGTCCAGGCTGGCTTTGAACTTGTGATTCTCCTGCCTCATCCTCCTGAGTGCCTGACTTACAAGTATAAACCACCATGCCCTGATTTCATTGTATATCATTTTTGAAAACTGTTTTGTAGGGCCAGGGATTTAGCTCAGTGGTTTCGCCGCCTGCTGCGCAAGCGCAAGGACCGGAGTTTGATCCCCGGTACCAGAAAAAACAAAACAAACAAAAAAAAGAAAACTGTTTTGTTTTTTCTTAGGGACAAAGATAAGAATTACAGCCAGGCATGGTGGTGCACACTTGTAATCCCAGCATTTAGGAGGTTGAGGCAGAAGGATCACTGTGAATTCTGGGGCCAGCATCAAAAACCCAGCTGGAACTATGTAGCCAAACTCTGTCTCAAAAAACAAGAACTTGGCCCGGGATTTAGCTCAGTGATTCCGATGCCTGCCTCGCAAGTGCAAGGTCCCGAGTTAGATCTCTGGTACCAAAAAAAAAAGAAGAAGAACTAAAATATTATAGAGGTATTCTGCAAAAAGATCTGTGAGATATAAAAATGTTGAACTTGTATGCTCCTAATGATGTATGCTAAAAATGTCTGACACAAAAATTGGTAGAATTACAAGGAGAAATTGCTCAAAACAAGGATTTAACAGGAAGTAGCAGATCAATCAGGCAGAAAAAAAAAAGGGGAAATGGAAGGTTTGAATCACTCAATTAACAAGTCTCCTTGAGTGGAATTATGCCGAATCTCACAAAGAACAATTACAGATAAATACCTTTGTAGGGTTTAAGAATTTAAGTGATGTCATTTTATTACCGATTCAAAATGTTATATAAATGGGCGGCAGAGTGAGATTGTTTTAAATATGTATGAAGGAAAGATGTGTGTGCATATGTACGAATGTGCAGAAAACAATGAAACAAAGCTAACTCAGGTGACTTCATTTTTTTACTTTTTGGTTTTTTGAGACAGGGTCTCCCTATGTACCCCAGGCTGGCCTCAAACTCATGCAATCCTCCTGCCTCAGCTTCTTGAGTACTGGGATCACAGGTGTGCACCACCACACCTAGCTCCAAGTCCAGATTTTGAAAACATGGTGTGGCCATGAAGGCAGCAGTCTCCAGTAGACATCTGGAAAGTTTGTCAAAGTGTGGTTGAACTAGAAGGGGATTTGGGCAATTTTCAGGCAAAGCCACTATTACCACAGGGAGCCAGCATCCCACTCAGGAGCCCAGGAAGGGCAGGGAGGATGGCTCAGTGGCAAGCACTTGCCTAGTTTGTGGGAGGCCCTGGGTTCCATCCCCAGCACCTCCAAAAAGAATAAGAAGGAGAAGAGAAAAGAGCATAGGCCTTTTTTTTTTCGGAGCTAGGGATGGAACCCAGGGCCTCACCTGTGCTAGACAAGAGCCTGCCATGAGCTACATTTCCAGCCCAAGACCTGAAAATAGCTGGGTGTGGTGGCGCACACCTGTGATCCCAGCACTCAGGAGGCTGAGGCAGGAGGATGGCTTCTAGTTTAAGGCCAGCCTGGGCTTCATAGTGAGTTCAAGGTCAGTATGGAGTATGTACCAAGACCCCCACTTAAAATAAGAAAAAAAAGAAGGATCTGAGCAGACAGCTTCCCTGGTCTTACACTCACCTATGAACAACCCTTCTTATGCAGTGACATCCCAGAAACCCAAAGTAGAAGTGCAGGAGCTTCTGGATACCATACATGGGTGGAGGTGGGGGCACCTGGAGAGGGCGTGGAAGCTCCATCCTTCTTCCCATATACTTCTTTTTTCCCTGTACTGGAGATCCAACTCAGGACCTTGCACTTTCGAGGCAGGCACGGTGCCACTGAGCTAAATCCCTCGCCTACTTCTTTTTTTTTTTTTTAGACAGGGTCTCTCTATGTAGTCCAGGCTGACCTCAAACTCATGGTGATTCTCCCACCTTACACTCTCATTTGCTGGGGCTACAGGTGGGTGCCATCACACCGGGCTCCACATACTTCATTCTATGTGCTTTTTTGGTCTTGCTTTGTTTTGTTTTGGAATATAGGGGGTGGAACCTAGGAGCTTTGCACTGAGCTATGTCCTCAGTCTTTTTTATTTATTTCAAGATAGGATCTCACTAAGTTGCTAAATTGCCCAGGATGGGCTGGAACTTGTGATCCTCCTGCCTCAGCCTCAGAGTGCTGGGATGACAGCCATGTGCCACTATGCCAGGCATCCTTTGTGATGTCCTTTATCATAAGCTGGTTAACATCACTGTTTCCCTGAGGTCTGTGAATTGCTTATGCAGATTAATCAATCACATTGGAGGAGGTGGTTGTGGGGACTTTGGTTTATAGCTGGTGGCTCAGAAGCACAGGGAAACCTTCTGTGGTGATGACTGGTGGCTGTGGTGGGGCAGGGCAGGGGACAGTCTTGGGACTGGGCCTGTGACTGTGGGATCTGTCCGGTCCTGAGACTGACAGGGGCAGTGGCAGACCTGCTTGCTTGCTAATGAGGATTGGTCCTCACAGTTTTTTGGGTCACAGAAACCATATGCATTGACTGTGGTATAAGAGAGGGGAAAAAACAGGAGGTTTGTTTCTTCTAATACAACATCAGTGGATGAATGGATAAACGGAATGGAGCATTGCCCCACAATGGAATGTCAGTGAAAGAATGAGAGTCAGAAAAAGAAAAGAAAAAGAAAAAAGAATGAGACCCGAGCATGATGAGGATGGCTGTGATCCCCTCACTCGGGAAGCTGAGGTAAGAGGATCGTCGAAAGTTCAAGGCTAGCCTGGGCTACACAGCAAGACCCTGTCTCAAAAAACAAAAATAAATAAGTTAATTAAAAAGCCCCCAGCTATTGTGGCTTTCCTTGGATAGCCTTCCCTACATCCTCCAGGGTATATTTTTATCTTACTTTTTCCTCTTTTACTGGGCCCAAGCTTGCTATGCAGAGCCAGTTTCTCCCTCACTCTTCACTTACTTTTTCTAATAAACTTTGTCACCACTTAAAAAACCAAGTCCCCAGACACTGAGCTAAGTGAAACAAGCCAGACAGAAAGGCCATGGAATGAATAATTCCATTCTCAGGAAATACCAGAAAGCCAGATCCACAGAGATAGAAAGCTGATCAGCGGTAGCAGTGGCATGTGGCTGCCTTTTGGATGGGAGCATTCTTTCTGGGTTCATAAAAAAGGTCTGGAACAAACTAGTCCCAGTGGTTGTGCAGCACTGAGAATGCACTAAATGCCATGGAATTATTCATTTTCAAATGGTTTGGGGAGCTAAAGATGTAGCTCAGTGCTAGAACATGTGCTTAGCATGCACAAGGCCCTGGGTTCAATCCTCAACACCACCCAAAAATAAAAATAAAAACAGCTGAGGTCCAGCTCAGTGGTGAGCATTTGCCTAGCATGCCTGGGGCCCTCCTTGGGTTCCATCCCCAGCACTGCCAAAGAAATGGTAGATAGATAGATGGATAGATAGATAGACAGACAGACAAGTAGATAAAATGGTTAAAATGGGAAATTTTGCTGAGCACAGCGGTTCATGTCTACAGTCCCTGCTACTTGGGAAGTTGAGCCAAGGGTATGGTTGGAGCCCAACAGTTCAAAATCAGCCTGAGCAACATAGGGAGACTTTGTCTCAAAAGAAAAATAATTGTGAGCTGGGGATTTAGCTCAGTGGTTCCGGCACCTGCCTCGCAATCGTAAGGTCCCAAGTTCTATCCCCGGTACCAAAAAAAAAAAAAGAAAAAGAAAAGAAAAATAATTGTATGTTATATGTAGTTTATCATGACAGAAAAAAAAATCTCATGAGGGTGCAGCCCAGTGGTTGAGCACATGCTTAGCGCATATGAGGCCAAGGTTCCATCCTAGAACTGCAAAAAGAAAAAAAATAAAAGAGGAAGGAAAGGGAAAAAGAAAATTTAAAGTAGCTCATGAATGAATAACTAGTATTTTCTTTCTTTTAGTTTTTTCTTTTGGTTTGGTTTGGGTTTTTTGAGACAGTACCATATTTCACTACCATATTTCCCTGAAAATAAGACCTAACTGGAAAATTTGCCCTAGCATGACTTTTCAGGGCATTTGTATTATAAGCCCTATGCCAAAAATAGCCCCCACTCCAAAAATAAGCCCCAATTAGGATCATCAGCCAGATGACATATTGAATTATAAAATAATATGTAGTTATATATAAATAAATAATATTATTGACATTAATACTCAAAATAAAGGATAACATAAATTATAATCCAAGTGGGTGCTTTCGGAGGAGAGGTAAACACTATGAAGACAGGTGAACTCCAGACTTATTGCCAAATGACCAATCAGAGCACAGACACAACGCAAGAGTAACACGTGCACTTGATAAAGAATGGACATGCTTGTCTTATACGAATCTTCATAGTTCAGTATGTCATGTATTGTAATGGACCTGCTCAATGCACTCATCTGAAATAAACATTCTCTGCCTGCAATTTTTCATCACTTTCATGTGGACCTTCATTCTTAACTGTCATCATTTTTGTCGCCACTCCTGTGTCGTGAGTCTTCGATTAACACTTGATTTAATGGAAGCTTTGTGAAGCCAGCCTGTAGGAGGTAGGTCGTGACTTGGGTGAAGAATTCATGGGATAAAATCACCGACAGCTCTGTTGCCAATGTGCTACCAGCAGGCTACATGGACGAGAAGCGCTCATTTAAGGAGAGCTCTACTGCTGGACATGAGGGACTGGGCCGATGGTTCTACAGGAAATGGAGTTGCAAGACTGAGGCTGGAATTCGGGGTTCGGAGAGTTAGGACGAAGGTCCAGAAGAAGATGACATGACCGTATTTGAATAAATGTATGTTTCTGTACATGAATAAGAGTAGATTGTTTTAAAAAAGAAAGAAAAGGGCTGGGGATTTAGCTCAGTGGCTCTGTGCCTGCCTCAAAAGCACAAAATCCTGAGTTTGATCCCCGGTACCAAAAAAGAGTAGATTGTTGTACATGAAAAAGTAAGACATCGCCTGAAAATAGGCACTATTGGCTCTTTTGGAGCAAAAATTAATATAAGACCTAGTCTTATTTTCAGGGAAATACAGTAGGTTGCCCAGGCTGGCCTTGAACTGTTGGTGATCCTCCTGCCTCAGCCTCCTGAGTGCTGGGATTACACCATCTCCTGCTAGGATAAGCCATTATTAATTTCACCTTACTGATGGGAAAGTGAGCTCCACACAGTTGGAGGGCAGACAGCAGCCAGTGCCCACCCAGGACCCAGGGTGCTGACCCGGCCCAGCCTCACCTCAGAGAGGTCATCCTGCTCCGGTGTGTTTGAGCCCCCACTGTCCTGCTCCTCCAGGTGGGCCACATCTAGGGGGAAGGGACAATGATCCCAGGAGCCTGGCCGCTCCCCCACATCCCCAGGAGCCCTAGGTGCACCTGGAAAGGGGTCGCGGGTGAGGCCCAGCTGGCGGATGATGTAACGCGGGATGTCTGTCTTGACCAGGTGGCCCTCCTTGGCATGGCCCTCGGCTGCCTCCAGTAGGTGGTAGAACTCCTCTGGGTTGAATTCCTGGAGCAGGACAGGGAGTGTTTGCCTCAGGCTCCTGGGGTGGCCCCACCACCCCTGGCTGGTCCAGCCGACTCACCAGGCACTCAAGCAGCCTCGCAGGTCTTGAGATGATGATGAGCAGTTTTTTCACCAGCTGTGTGACGAAGGCCACCTCCAAACTCTCTGACCGCTCGTAGGCCTAGGGTGGGGACACAAAGGACGGGGCCATAGCTGCCAGTTCCAGCCAGGCCCCATTCCAGCCCCCAGGGTGTGAACTGGTAGTACTGTCCGACTGTAAGGTGAGACACCCAAGACCCAGGCCACACACTAAGAATAATCATGGTGATTATGAGAAGGATGATAAATAATAATGATTGTAGCAAGCACAGTCCTAAAACTGTCATGAGTTCAATTTATCCTCAAAACAGCCCTCACTAAGGGCTGGGGATTTAGCTCAGTGGTTCCAGTGCCTGCCTTCCAAGTGCAAGGTCCCAAGTTCAATCCCCAGTACAAAAAAAAAAAAACAGCCCTCATCAGGCATCGTGGTGCACACTGGTAATCCCAGCACTGGGGAGGCTGAGGCAGGAGGACTAAAGTAACTTCAAGGCCAACCTGGCCTAAATTGTTTTGTTCTTGTCTTTTTTCACTTTTTTTTTTGGTACCAGGGATTGAACTGGGGACCTTGCGCTTGCGAGGCAGGCAGCAGCATCACTGAGCTAAATCCCCCGCCCTTGTTTTTGTTTTTGTTTTTGTTTCTTCTTTTTTTTTTTGGTACCAGGATTGAACTCAGGTCCCTGAGCTTGCTCAGCAGGTGGCAAAACCACTGAGCTAAATCCCCAGCCCTTGTTTTTATTTCTTTGAGATGAGCTCTCGCCATGTAATCCAAGGTGGCCTTGAACTCACAGCAATCCATCCTCCTACCTCAGCCTCCAGAGGCTGGGATGAGAGATGTGCACCACCACACCCAGCAGAATCCCATTTTGTTGTTATTGTTGGTTTTGTTTTGTTTTGTTTTGTTTTGCTTTGAGGTAGGCTCTATGTAGACAGGCTGCCCTGGAACTCACTATGTATCCTGGGCTGACCTTGAAATTGTGACGATTCTCCTGCCTCAGCCTACTGAGTGCTGGGATTACAGGCATTTGCCACCATGCCCACCATATAGTTCCACTTTGAAAGAACTCAAGCAGAGGTGTTCCGAAGCATGGCAAAGGCTGCACCGGAAGTATGATAAACCTAGACCATCTAGAGTCTGTGCTCTGAATCCTATAGTCCTAAGAAGAATATCCTATAATCCTATAGCAGAATCTAGACTGAAACCTAGAACTGACACCAAAGCTCAAAACAACATCAACCTGTTGCCCTTCAGGACTGGGCTAGGCCCAGAGCTCAAAGCCCCACAGTGGTTCCTGTGCTGTTTCCCAGCTCCACATGCTCTCAACAGTGCCAACATGTGGCTCCTGTGCTGTTGAGGATTTGCTCTCTTCCTACCTTAGGACATTTGCACATGGTGCACCCACCTCTCAGCATGCATTCTCTTCAGCTCTCTCTGCACAGTACCTCTTGTTTGTCATCATTGCCCCAGTGTCATCGTCAGATCCTTAGGGGCACCTTCCTGGATTACAAAGGAACCCTGACGCTCCACCCAGGAGTCCAGTCTCCCGACTTCACAGGCCTGATTTGGGGTGGAGATGCGGGTCCCCTGCACTCACGTCCTGCAGCAGTTTCTCCAAGTTCTCCTGCAGCTCATAGAAGTACACTGTGGTGATGAGCCCATCTCGAGACTTGGTCAGGCAGTCCCGGGCCAGCTCGATGATCTGGTGGTGAATGAAGCTGAGGACGCCGTCGGCCAGCGGCAGCACGCTGTCAGGCTCGTAGGCGCGGGCAAAATCACGCAGCTTCTCCTCCATCTGGGCGGTGGCCTGGGAAGGACAGGAGTGCGGTGTGGCTGAGCCTGGTAGGGCCCAGAGGCAATGCCGCTCTCCTCCGCCACCAGGGGGCCCTTGGGGCTGCATCGCGCGGCACAGCCACCAGGGGGCGCCGTCCTCACCTTAGGGAACCGCTCCTTGTACACGTGGTTCATCATCACGATCTCATTGTCATAGGAGGAGGGGGAGCGGCCGGGGCTGCAAAGAGAGAACCCTGTCTTGTCCAAGCGCCTGCCTCCGAGCCCGCCTCTAGGTCCCTCCATGCACAATCCTCCGACCTCAGCCAAGAGTGTTGGTGCACACTTCTCACCCCAACACTGGGGAGGCAGAGGCAAGAGGGTGGTTGCGAGTATGAGGCTAGCCAGGCTACACAGTGACATAGTGAGTTCAAGACCAGCTTGGGCTACCCAGTGAGACCCTGTCTCGAAAAACCAAACCAAACCAAACAAAATAAGCCTCCCTCTCAGCGTGGCCCTGGGTGCAGCCCCACCTGAGGCTCCTGGAGCGCGGGCGCACTGCTGGGGAGCGGCGCCCGCCATCCTCGTCGGTGATGCTCTCGGTGCTGCCAAAGTGCTTGGACAGGAAGTGCAGCTCGTCCACCGTGGGCTGGTAGGGCAGCTGGTGCAGGCGCTCCTGGGAGGAGCAGGAGGACTGGGGGGCAAGTGGGCTGGGTCAGAGCGACCGCGGGCCGGTGGGGACCCTGGGGTGGGGCCTGGAGAGGGTGAGCTACCAGGCAGGGCTACCATCCAGGCCTCAGCATCCTGGGCTCCTGGTTTAAGGTCCAAGGATCCCAAGGGCCTGGCTGGGACTCCCAGCCACAGACAGGTAGATAGAGCCAGACACAGCATGGACATGGACATGACCAGAGAAGCCTGGTCAAACAAGTCAAGTAGTCCTCCCTCTGCACAGAACCCTCCATGGCTCCCACCTTACTTGGATAAACACCTAAGTCCTCTCTCCTAGACCACAAGATTCTGCAGCTCCTGGCCCTGTCATACTGCTGTCACCTTCTTCCACTCTGCCTGGATTGCTCTGCCACACTGGCCTCCTTGTGAATCCTGGAGCAAGGTAGCCTCCTGCCTCCGGGCCTTTGCACTGGCTACATCTCTGTCTGTATCATACCTGCTGGGAAGCACACTTTTTCCTCTCCAAGTCTTCCCTGTTTGCCTCCCTCCCTCCCTCCCTTCCTTCCTTCCTTCCTTCCTTCCTTCCTTCTTTCCTTCCCTCTGTTTTTCTCTCCTTTTCTAGTGGTACCCAGCCTCTTTTGATTTTTTTTTAAAATTTGAGACAGAGTCTTGCTAAGCTGTCCAGACTCCCCTCAAACTTGTGATCCTCCTGCCTCAGCCTCACAAGATACTGGGGTTATAAGCCTGCCCCATGGTGCCCAGCTCCTCTCCTATATCTTACTGAGTCTTCCTGCTTCATCTCCTGATATCCTACATCTTTGCTACTGTCTACTTCTCAAGAACAGGGACTTGGCTCTGGTTGGACCCTGGTGACCAGGCCTGGCACATAGTTGGGACAGGCACAAACCCACCATCACCAGTGTGAGCACAATGACATTCACATGATGGTGCCTGCAGTCAAAATAATCTTTTTATGTATTTATTTTTCGAGACAGGGTCTCATTATATACTTCAGACTGGCCTTGAACTCATAGCAATCCTCCTGCCTCAGCCTCCAGAGGGCTGGGATTACAGCCATGCACCATCATGCCCAGCCAGAATGATCTTTTAAAATGTAACATCACTCACACCCCTGCTTAAAACTCCCCATCCCACCTATATCTATTAAAAAAACTTAGCAGTAAGTGCAAGGACCCGAGTTTGATCCCTGGTACCAAAAAAAAAACAACAAAAAACAAAACTTAGCAGTAAGCACAAGGACATGAGTTCAATCCCTGGTACCAATAATAATAATAATAATAATAATAATAATAATAAAAATACATGGAAGAAGTATAATTCTATTTTTTAAAAGACAAAAACTTAGCAGCTTTTTTTCCCCCGGTACCAGGGATTGAACTTGCACTTGCAAAGCAGGCATGGCACCACTGAGGTAAATCCCTGGCCCTCTATTAAAAAATTTAGAGGCTTGGAGTAGCTAAGTGGGAAAGAAGAATATGCTTAACATGTGTGTGAGGCCTTGGGTTCGATGCCCAGCACACACATGCACATGCACACACACACATACACACACTTTTTTTTCTCTCCTGAGGGTTGCATCCAGATCCTTGAACACACTAGGCAAGTGCCATACCTCTGAGCTCCAGCCTCATCTTTTTTTTTTAATTTTATTTTTTGAGACAGAGTCTCATTAAGTTTCCCAGGCTGGCCTTCAATTTGCAATCCTCCTGACTCAACCTCCAGAGCAGCTTGAATTACAAATGTGTGCCACTTCAACTGGCTCACACAAAATTCAGTGCACATTATCTTTGCCCTATAAAAATCAGAATTACTGAAATTTTAATATAACTTAATATAAAGCAGTAGAGCATAGTGGTGCATACCAGTAGTCTAAGCACTCAGGAGGCTGAGGCAGAAGGATTGCTGGGAGTTCAAGGCCATCCTGGACCACAGAGCAAGACCCTGTCTCCAAAACCAAGACAAAAATCAAGCAAAGTCTAGTTGTTCTGTAGTTCCTCCATTGGATATAAAATCAAATCCACCTCTGTGTCCAGCCAACAGGTCCCAGTGTTACCTCTATCTCTTCCCCAACATGAAGCTCCAGCCACACAAGGCAACTTTTCTTTTTTTTTTTTGGTACCAAGGATTGAAAATTCGGGACCTTTCACTTGCAAGGCAGGCAGTGGAACCACTGAGCTAAATTCCCCACCAAGGCAACTTTCAAATTCAAATGCAGCAAGGCTTCTGTAGCCTCCAAGGGTTTGTACCTTTTCCTTCTCTTGTACCTGCTGAACTCATGCTGACCTTGTGACTTGGCTTCAATGCCACCTCCTCCAGGAAGCCTTTCTCGATGACCCCTCCCAGCTGAGTTCTGTATCACCCCACCCTGTGCTAGTCACATGACCCCTGTCTGCTGCAAGGAAGTGGGAACCAGAGAGGAGGGCTGAGCAGGAGGCAGATGGAGAGGTCGTCACTGGTTCACAGGATGAGGAAATGCCCTCCAGGCAAAGCCCACAGCCTGGCCCTGGGCTGCTGTACACACTTGGGCAAGTGGCTGAACTCACTGACTATAATGTCACCCTTTGTTAAGCTGGAAATGAACAGGACCCCCAAGAAGACATGTTGAGGGGAGAGGTCAGGGCTTTTGGGGACATGCAGGCACCCAGCCTCTCCTCAAGTCCATCCTGGGCAGCTGGCCTGGGTGACAGCCCCCCACAGCCCCTCTTACCCAACCATCACCCCATCCGCCACACTCACCGAGACGGTGGAGCTGGGTGTGTTGGTGCCATAGCCAGATGAGGGGAGTGAGGCCAAAGACCAGCGGCGTCCGTCAGCCCTGGAATCCAGCCCAGTACTCAGGACCTGCAGGGCCGTGCTGGTCCCACCATTTCTTGGGGCATGAGATAAGTCACCAGCCATGGCTTGGGCAGGATGTGGGGAGCTACATTTGAACTATGTGACTCCAGAAGGAAAAAGGTCGCCTTTTAGCCTGGCACAAGGGTCTTGGAGGAGGGATCGGGCTCCTATGCTCCTCCTCACATCATATAAGCCCTCCAGAAGGAGAGCTGAGGGACTGGAGAAGCCACCCAAGGAAGCCACCCAAGGAAGCCATCCTCAGGGGCCCCAGAATCCTACCCCTAGGGAACACTTGGATTTTCTCAGAGAAGAAAGACCCCTCCTATAAGATGCACCCTCTGCCACTCTCTGCTGTGTCCACACACTCTGTACACACTGGTGTGCACCACTGGTGTGAGTGGGAACAGTGTGGTCAGATCCACAGACTGAGAGTCACACATTTCCACACTTCATGTACATCTAACACACAGAGATGACTTCTCAGCAGGGACACTCACATACATAGATGCAAATGTCACACTCACATATGCACACATAATCACCCTTGCAGAAAGTTACCCATAGATGCACAGTTACAGGGACCCAAGGCTCACATGCACACACATACCCCCACACACCAGCTCACATGTGCCCCACATCTTCACCTTCACGAAGACACACATTCAGACTCTTGCTTGCTGTCACACATTCAAACTCCCACGCAGCCACACACTCAGCCACTCAAACACAAAGACGCCTACATCCCTGGAGACACATAGGGGGTGTGTCTCAGTCACACTTTTACAAACCTGCAGACACATACGAGTTTACACACACTGATGCACACGCCCAGGGACACACAGTGTCACACACTTACACATTCTTGCTGGCTCACGGACGGCAATCACGCAGACACACGCCCTTATTGCCTCCTGCCCAGCTTGTCCAGGCTCAGACCTTTTTCCCCCCGCACAGGAAAACACTAAGACAAACCCTAGAGCCAGGTTCCGGGTCCCTTTGCCCTCAGCTAAATGCCAGGCTTGCAAGGAGCTTCACTCGCTCCCCTCGGGAACTGTCCTCTGTCCCCTCCACCCCATGATGCCCACAGCCCTCTTCAGTTTTTGCAGTGGTCCCATTCTCTGCGCTGCCTCTTCCACCCCACGCAGCAGGTAGAAACGTGGTGACACTCCGAATGTCCAGCTCTTACGACATAGCAGGTTTTTATAGACACCGTTTTTAGAATGAATGGAGTTCAAAAGACCAGCTCACCACCAGCATAAGCCCAGAAAGTTTCTTAAAAAAACCATTAGAGAACCTCTTTACTTCCAATTTCATCAAAGTCTCCCCTGAAAATTCATGGAAGGGTATTTCAGAAGCCTTTGGAGAACCTCCAGGGAAACCTGAGATTCCTCCTCTTGGGACCTTGAGAAATAACCCTGACCACCCTCCCCCACCTCAGGGACTGTCCCTTGATGGGCTTCTGCGGTCTGCGCTTGCGCATCTCCTCTCCGCTACCTTGTCCTGTTGCTATGGAAACGCCCAGCCAGGCGTTCAAGACTCCGGAGAGACCCCAGGCCCAGAGCGCCGGCGCTTTCACGGTTGCAAAGGAGGCCCCGCCCCTTTCCCTATTCCATACAAGAGATTGGCCCCGCTTTGCTATAGGCCCCGCCCCGAAGTCTGGGCGCTCTTCCCCGCAGGGACCCAGGGGCCACTCCTCTGTCCCCTCAGGTCCCAGCTCGGGTGCAATTAGGAGGAGAACAGATGGCGGCCCAGACGGTGGGTGGGGAGGTCCAGACAGGGCTCTGGGGCACTCGGGAAAAGACTCACCTTCGGGAAGAGGCAAAGGAGAAGTGGGCAGGGGTATTGGGGGAGAAGTTTCGAGGGCTGTCCAGAGGACTGCTACCTGTAGTGGAAAGAGGAAGTACTTTAGGCCTAGGGTGGAAGGCAATCATATCAGGCCTCCGATCCCCAAAGTGGGTGGCAAAAGTCGTGGTCTACTTTGGTCCCTTCTGCGTTTGGGTAGGCCACGCCCCTTTGGCTCTGGCCCTGCCCTTCACCTATGGCTCCTCCTTCCTGCCCTGCCCCCATCCAATCTAGATCCCCTGAGCCTCTACCCACCAATGCCCTTCGCTGTGGACTGACCACACCCACACGTGGGTGGCATAGCCCCTGTCCAATCCAGGTTCACCCCCTTCCAGCTCTATGGCCACACCCCTAGCCTTGACCACGCCCCCAAACCTGGTCTACCACCCCCCCCCGCCCCCAACTGTCTCACCCAAGTGGCCCGGCAGTGGTGAGTGGGGTCTGGGCAGCGTGGGTGAAGTACTGGTCAGGATGAGGCTTTTCCGGTTACTGGTGCGGCAGCTGGAGGGAAGGCAAGGCAGGTGGGCCATGACAGGCCGCGGCCCAGTGAGTTCCTGGGCCTATGCAGCCACCCTTCTCAGATCCTCGTTCTCTCCCACCCACGGGTGCCGGGAGGCGCCTCACGAGGGCGGCGTGGAGGAGGAGGCCTCATCATGCTGTGTATGGAAGGGCACACATGCAACCTGTGTGAGACACCCCCAGTGCAGACGATGTGTGTCCGGGTGGAGCAGGGTCAATTTGATGTCATCATAGGAACACAGAGAGTCTGTGTCCTTGGGTCTGAGGCTGACCTGCAAAGTGTTTATCCACGTGTGACATCTACCGTGTGACGCTGACACTGGCTGTGTGCAACACAACTCTCGTGTCCGTATGACACGGTGTAAAGTGAGATTTGTCTCTGACCACATGTGCTGTGGCATGTGCGTGACGCGTGATTTTTGTTCCGAGAGTCTGTGTCACGGTGCAGTACCCTGAGTGTGTGTGAGACCTGGTCTCATGTCTGTGGGTGACATCAACACCCCGTGACCCTGGGCAGGTCCGAGCTGCAGCCATGTCTGATTCCCCGGGTGTGTGATCAGGTGTGACTTTGCCTGTTTATTCTGGTATCCGTGCGACACGGCAGGTGAAATGCATAAGTATCACATCTGTGTCACGACACTGTCCGTGTGCACCGGGATGGCACGACTGTATCACGCAATGCTGGCTCTGAGTCTGGGTGTGCAAGGCTACAAGGCTGTGACCTGTGGCTGCTGCACGGCGGGCTGCAGCGCTAGGTGTGCGTGGCGCCTGCCAGCGAATCTGGGCCACTAGGGCTGTTGTGTGTATGTGTGTGACATCATGTCCCGAGTGACGCTGTGTGTCACTATTTTCATTGTGAGGCTGTGTTCATGGGGGGGGGGATCGGTGCTGTGAAATAAGACCCCCATTTTCCTCTGACTCACAGGATCCCAATTCCTGAAGCGGAGCCACCAGCCCTGCAGCCCCTTCCCTTCCCGGGCCGCAGTGACGGAGCAGATCCGCGCCCCGAGCACGCGGCGTGGGGGCTGCGGCCATTGTTCCGCGGGTGCCCAGCCGCCACCCCTCCAGGCCGCCGAACCCGCAGCGCCCCAGACAAAGGCGCCGCAGCCCCGCCCAGCACCCGCGGCCCCCACGCGGCGCCTCTTCCCATGCGCACCCCCCAGGGCCCGGGTCCCTAGTGGGAGGCGACACGCATCCCCCGACCGCGGGCAGCATCCCGGCACCGCCCTGCTGCAGCACCCGGGGTGGGGGCAGAGGCCGGGGCTGGGGTCGGGGTCGGGTTCTACCTCTTGGTGCGACGGAACATGCTGCCACCGGGGAAGGAGGGCATCGAGAAATTGGAAAGCGTGGTCCAGAGCGAGTCAGACATGACCCGGTGGCGGCGACATGGTGGCAGGTGCGGCAGCGGCGACGCGGGGAGCGAGCGCGGGGCGGAGGCTGCAGCCGCATCGGCCAGGGAGGGAGGGGGACGGAGGAAGGGGAAGGGAGGAGGAGGGGAGTGTGCGCCCTGCGGTGCGGCGGCCGGGAGGGGGCGCTGCTGCGCCTTAACGCCTGTCCCGCCCTCTCCACCCGGAGCCCGCCGCGTGGCTGTCCCCAGAGCTCACCTGCTGCTTTTCCGGGGCAGGGGCAAATCCTTCTGGAAGGAAAATGGAGAGAAGGACAAAGATCAGAGTGGACCTGTGACCCCTTCCCACAAAGCCACTCCGCTCCACCGAGGAGCAGAAGCAACGGGCGACGGTTCGAGATCAGCAGGGTCACCTTCACCTTTGGCCATGCGTTGATCCCCAGGGACCAACACAAACTCTAGTACCCTGAAGGAGCCCACGGAGGGCTGAGGAGTTGGCATCCTCACATAGTTGTGCAAATGATCCAGGAATTATTTGTTTATTGAGACAGGGTCATGCTATACAGCCCTGACTGACCTTGAACTCACTATGTAGCCCAGGCTGTCTTTGAACTCATGGCAATCCTCCTGCCTCAGCCTCAGGAGTGCACCACCAAGCGCAGCCAACCAGGAGTCTTTATTTGAAAATACAATTCCCGAGCAACTACTGTATGCCACACTCTGTCCTGTGAACTAGAACCTAAACCGTGAATAAGGGAAATAAAAATGGCTGCTTTGGCGGTGAGCATTTAGAGGAGGCAAACAGGAACTAAATAGAATTAATGTGAAAGTGAAGGAGATAATGTTAAACATGAGTGCTATGAAGAAAAACAAATCGGCATGCTGTGATGTCTGGGAGGGAACAGAGAGTGGTATCTCTGGGGGATGGCTCTAAGGTGGCTGCTGGAGGACAAGAGCCAGCCACAGTGTGGAGGGAACTTTTCAGGTAAAGGGAGTTGAAGGCCAAAGTCCTGGAAGCATGAATGGGCTTATCATGCTCTGGTATGGAAGCTTGAATAAATGCATGCATGCATGAATAACTCTTTTATAGCCTGCCAGATCCACCCCATGCTCAGCTAGATTTGCAGAGTTGGGGACCATGTAGTTAGGGTGGCTCAGAACAGATATGAAGCGGGATACTGGTAGAGCCAAGTGGTCTTTGTCTAATAATAACAATGTAATAATTGCTGGCCCTTGAATGTAGGTCTCCACATTCGAAGAAAGTCTTGTGTTGCTGGAGTGCTCAGAAAGTCAGCAGAGAGCTAGGAACGTAGCTACTAATGGCACGGCGCCTGCCTGTGGCAAGCTGGAGGCCCAGAGTTTGATTCCCAGTATCCCCCCCCAAAAAGTTAACAGAGATCAGGAGTTACAGGGTCTCAGCCATTTTCTTTTTTTCTTGGTACTGGGGATTGAACTCGGGTCCTTGTGCTTATGAGGCAGGCAGTGAAACCACTGAGCTAAATCCCCGGCCCTCAGCCATTTTCAAGGAGAGCAATGGAGGAAGGGGACACAACTTTCCAGCCAGTTCCATCCAAAGTATGAGGCAAGCTAGGTGTGGTAATACACACCCATCATCCCAGCACTTGGGAGGCGGCATGTTCAAAGCCAGTCTGGGCTACATAGTGAGTTCCTGGCCAGCCTGGACTACATGGTGAGACCTTGTCTCAAAAATAAATAAATAAATGAATAAATAAATACTAAATCGTCAGAACAAGAGTGACAATGGGTAGCCATGCAGCATGACAGAGGATGGCCAAAGGGTTCCCCCACTCCTGTGTACAAAGCACAGACGTTTTGGCGGGGGGGGGGGGGGTGTCAAAGGTCAGTCCAGGCCTCCTGAGCCAGGAGTGACCAGCAATCCACACCAGGTTTTCCCTCGGTCTTTGCAGGATTGCCTGAAGGAGTGGCCACTGGAACCCGGACTAGGCTCCTATCAACCCCTTAAGAGCCCAGACGAAATCAGGACCTGGATTTTCTGGCCAAGGAGCCCAGGGCTCCAGACTCAAGTTAAGTGGACCTTGGAAGGTAAACCTGTGGGGGTCTCTACCACCCAAGAAGCCCTCGGACACAGCATCTGCTGCTGGCGCATCAGAGCACTCTAGAATCGAAGAGAGGGGCAAAGAGGAGCAGCAGATGTTCAGATTCTTGGCGCCCATGCAGACAGACACTACCTCCAACCCTAGCTGCAGAGCCAGCTCCGCTTCTCCTGGGATTAGCAGATGGATGGCTCAGCGGACTGGGCTTTCAAGCTCGGGACGCTGTGTGCATACATGGTGGGAAACGCACACATGGGACTCTCTGGCGACCTTTCCTAAGAGGGGAGCCAGGGCGTGGGATATGTGCAAGCACCGGACGAGTTAACTCTGCCAGAAGGGAAGAGGTGGGGGCAGCCCTGGGCGAGGGTCGCCAGGCCAAGAGGACTACCAGATTGGGTGTGTGGTGGTGATGGTGGTGGTTGCTGGGCTGGAGGCAGGGTCCTGCGCGGGAGACGGACGTCCCGCGTGGCGATGAGCCAATGGATGGGTTCCGGCGCCAGCTGGGAGGGCGAAGACACCTCCAACCCACCCCACCCCACCCACCCCACCCACCCCACTGGGTAGGTGTGGGGGACCCGACGGCACGGACCAAACCAGGGTTTGCTGCTGCAGGGCTTGGTCTAACTTTGTGGGCTCTATATGATAGCAAATGAGCTTTAACCCACGTCTAGTTTTAGCATCATCGGAATGCCTGGGAAGTCCTTCCTACCGTCTGATCTTCGTTTCTCCAGCTGCACTAGCTAATCAGCTCTCCCTGGTCTCTGACTTCCGGAATGGTGAATTAGGGAACCCCGGAGATGGACCCCAGGTAAGCTGAAGGTGTAGCTTGAGTGTGGGCGCACACGGGGCTTCATCTCAACTCCAGAGCAGCAAGCGTAGAGCTCATCTCCAAGGAGGTTCTCCAGGGCCGGCCCCAGGCAGGTTTGGGGGCGAAGCCTTGATGGCCCCCTCTCTGAAGTTAGCATAGGATGCACAATCCCTCAGAGGCGCTGCCCAAGTCGGGAGCAGGGTACGCTTCCCAGCCACAGAATCCCCACATAGCTGGAGGTGGGAGATCTTGACGTGCGGATTCGTCCTCACCTTCCCTTCCCTCCACCAAACCCTCAGTATCCCATTCCGAGCAGTGGACCCGCGCGTCCTGCTCAGGGGTGGCCTGAAGACCAGGATCTTCCAGGCTACAAGAAGCTAAAAATCGCTCCCGCCCACCTACAAGCTGGGATGGACCTGAGGATCGCGGGGGTGGGGGTTGTAGTGGAGGGGGTCGAATGAAGGGTGCGGCGCTGTCTGGATGCTCGGCCAATGAGGACAGCAAGAAGAGTCCTGGGGGCCGCCCAGGAGAGCAGAGGGCGCACAGGGGTCCCTGCTAGGGAAAGCGCTCCCGGGGTGGCTGCGGGCGAGGCTGCAGCGCAAGCGTGTTTACCGCGCCGCCGGCCCCCAGGGACCCGAGCCCTGGGGCCGCAACTTTTTGCTCGACCCCGGTCACCGCCAACTGGCGATGCACCGGACAAGGGAGGGCTATGGCCCGCGCCCCTACGTCTCCTCGGCGGACGCACACCCCAGCTCCTCCATCCCGCGGCGCCGAACCCATGCAGCTCCGAGGGGCGGGGTCCCTGGCGTGGCCACCGCGGTGCCCACAGGGGGCACCCGAGGCTGGGGAAGTGGCGGCCCGCGGACCCCGTTGCTACTCCCCCCGACCCCCCGCGACCCGCCTCGGCGCTGACCCCATCTCCGCCCCGCGCCCCGCCGGGCTGCGCGCACCTGCAGCCTCCGGCGGCGGATCAGGCCTGAATCGTCCATGGCGGCGGCGGCTCGGCCCGGGGGAGGGAGGTGAAGGAGGCGGAGGAGGCGGCGGCAGCGGAGGAGGAGGAGGAGGGAGAAGCCGCAGGGACCAGGCGGCGGCGGCGGCGGCAGGGGTGGGGGGGCAGGGGCGGAGCAAAGCGGGGCGGGCCCGGCGCCGTCACTGCGTCTGGGCGCCCAGCCTGGCCTCGGCCACCGCCGCTCGCGCTGGGGGAGGCAGGAGGGCAGAGGGGTGGAGATTCCAGGTGCTCCCCAAGGGAGCCGTGGAACCCAGAGACCCTTCAGAGAGCCATTCATCCCCATGGGTAGACCCTAAGCCAAGGTGCTCCGTAAGGGAGACAATCCACTGAAACAGTTCCTATGGGGACCCTCTGGAGACCCTCAGGGAGACACCTCTCCCTGGAGACAGAGTTTCTCCACAGATGCCCTCTCCAATACATAACCGCCCCTCAGGAAGGGACGGAAAAATTAAGATGTGCTATGCACATGCACCAGCTCCTCACGATGAATGTAATCAGTATGCACTGCAAACGTGTAGTAATAAAAATTAAAATGTTAATAAAAATAATTGTTTCCCACCCTCAAAATCATTCCTGATAGATGGTGTCTGAGAGGGCATGTTTCATCTCAAAACCACCCGCCCTGCACACAGAGGCATTTCCGCAGGGAAATACCCCATGGGTGACACCATGTGGGACCTGGGGGAGGGCGTCCCTCAGGAGAGACTCCAATAAGCTACATGGTCTGTGGGAAATGGCCCACATCCACAAGACCCTGGGGACCCAAGAGGGACATCCTTATAGAGGGAGGCCCCTCGGGAAGTGCCCCTCAGAAAGATAGTCACGGCAGGGGGGGAAGGGGAAGGAAAAGAATGCAGACGTGTGTACGTGCACCAGCTCCCCCCAGGAATGTAATCAGTATGTATCAGTATGCACTAGTAAAACTTAAAAAAAATTCCCATGCATACACACACACCCCTCCTCTCCCCCCAGGGAACCTGCAGCCCCTCCAGCGACTGTTCCTTTGCGCTCAGGATTATAGAGCCAGGCCAAGTTGGGCTATATTTATAAGAGCGATTAGCTGGTAGTTAGTGGGGTGAGGGAGCTGAAGCGATTTTCAACCCCGCCCCTTGTCCACACGGCGGAGCCCAAGCTAATTATGCGTTTCAGAGTTGGGGGGCTGGAGTTTGGTCCCTGCGCGCTCCAAGCGCTGGCCCCTGGGGACAGGGCAGGATGGGCTTCCCCAGGGTCTATCCTGGAGCGGGCCCTGGGGCTGCAGGGCCAGGTCACCCGGCGACAGCGACCCCTGCCGACCACGCGGGCGACAGTGGAGTCTAGGTCGGCCTGGCGTTTCCCGGGAGCTTATTCCGTCTCTGCGCCCTTGCTTGTGCTGGGTCTGTGCCCTTCTGTCGCACTTCTGGGTTGTCTAGTTGAGATCCTCTCTGCCCAAGGCCTGGGCTCCGAGCGCCTCCTCGGCCTCGGGAGCTCTCCGTGGTCCTGGTCCCTCGCACTCCTATCCTCGGTGCTGAAATCACAGCTCAGGCTCGGAGGTCGAGAACAGGGAGGAGAGCTGCGGAGATTCTGGCAGAAGACACAGCCCATGGATGAGGGAGATCTGTCCCGCAAGCACCCAGCTCAAGACAGACCAGGGGAAGGCTGGGTCCTGTAGGTGTTGTTTGCCGAATCCTGAGAACATCACTAGGTGTCTATTGGAGACTCAGAGACAGTGTCTACTGACTTACTCCTTACTCAACACTTAGTGAGCACCTACTATGTGGAGTAAAGTGCTGTAGGTTCTGAAAGTACAGCAAAGATAAAACAGAGCTAAGCAAGATGGCACACACAGGTAATCCACTCAGGAGGCTAAGGCAGGAGGATGGCCAGGAGTTCAAGGCCAGCCTGGACTACACAGACAGACTGTTTCAAAAAATAAAACAAAACCAAACCCAATAGCAAACAAAAAAAAGAGAGACAGGCAGAAATGGAGGCAAGACGATTCATGGTGGTGGACACTGTTCACAAACACACACATGAATGGGCTGGGGATTTAGCTCAGTGGTGCTGTGCCTGCCTAGCAAGCACAAGGTTCTGAGTTCAATCCCTGGTACCACACACAAAAAACCCCATGCACATCCTGCAAGCACAGGCAGACATACATTCCATACATATGCACATGAAAGTGAACACAAACACACATGTTCAGCAAACACAGGTCCCCCACATATATATGCACACACTTTGCAATCATACACTCAACAAATACAACACACTTAAATACCTTCTGCAAACATATACACACTTATAAACATATACTTATGAAATGCAGACACACAAAAGCACATTCACACCTACACCCCACACACGTGCACTACACAGACCCACACATTCTTCTATGTTGCTTGTTTGTTTGAGACAGGGTGTTACTGTGTAGTCCAGGCTGGTGTCAAACTCCTGGCCATCCTCCTGCCTCAGCCTCCTGAGTGTTGAGATCACAGGTATGTGCCACTACATCCAGCCAGACATACATATTCTGCAAATACACACATCCAAACATATACTCTACAAACACAGACTCACACACAAACATACAAAAACACACACACAAACCCATACTTTGAGAACATACAAGTACACACTCAGGCAACACAGATACATGCACTCATCAAATGCAATAACATATGGATGCTCAAGAGACAGAAGTTCAAAAAAAAAAAAAAGACAGAAGTTCAGCCACAGAATTCCTACATCAAAGGGTGCCCAGTTGCACACAAATCCTCACCTGACACACAGACACATTACTCTCCCAACACAATGTCTGCTGCAGGGCTGTTTTCCCACCCAACCCTGCCATCAGCATGTCAGCTGAGATTGTCATGTCGTGTTCACTACTGCCTTCCAGAGCTGGCACACAGTGGTGCTCAACAGGTGTTGGCTGAATAAATGGGTGAACTGAGGGGATGTCCACAGAGACATACAGAAGCTGTAGATGGACACAAAACATGCATGTTTCAGACACAGACACACAACATGCATGACAATGTTCCTTTGTTAACTCATGGTCAGCAATCTTTCTCCACTGAGTCACCTAGAGCACCTTCAAAAGGATACCTACCCTGATCCTACACCCTCCCTTTCACATCATCATCATCATTTTGGTTTTCTGAGACAGGGTCTGGGTATGTAATCCAGGCTGGCCTTTAACTCGAGGCGATCCTCCTGCCTCAGTCTCCCAAGTGCTGGGATTACAGGAGTATGCCACCTCCCCCAACTTCCCCACATTTATTTTGATTCATATCTTCAACTGCACACACTTGACACGGGACACATACCGAGATTCTGAATAGACACACACACACACACACACACACTCCCCAAACATGTACAGAGCTTAAGATAAAAGCTCAATATAAGGATGAGCACATAGGTATACACACAAGCCCCAAATCCACCGGCTTTTACAGGTGGGCCAGGGGCGGGACTATGGAAAGCCCCACCCACATATCAATCCACACCCCTTTCTCTTGCCCTTTTTGCGTCCTGGATTGGTCCTGTGCTGTCCCAGCAGCCACCAGACCCTAGTCCAGCACACAGGTGAGGGGCCAGGGCTGGGAGGTGGGAAGAGGCTCCACTGGGCTCCACACACAGGAAGTCCCCCCTGCCTGGAGCTTCCAGATCCCACCATGAGTCACCTCCCCGCTCTGGCACAGCCAATCTGGGTCGCAAGCTTGCACAGCGCTGGTAGTAGTCCCTAAGCCAATTGTAAGCTGAGAGGTGACCGTGAGCTAAGCTGGCGCGAGGGAGGGAAGGGGGTGGACAAAGAGAGGGAGGAATTACAGCTGGGGGAGGGGGGGATTGGAAGTGCCAGGGTTGCCCTCTTGGCCCTGAGGACAGCGGGAGAGGCTGAGGATGATGACAGGGTGATGGGAGGTCTGTTGGAGGGCTGGTTCCAGCTGGGGTTGGCATCTGGTCCTGGAGGGGTGGAAGGGACATGGGTCTGATGGGAGGGGAACCAGAGTCAAAGTCAGCCCTGACTGCTCCAGGCCCTGGAAGTGAAGGCCTCACTGGTAACCCAGCCCTAGTGCCGGCTGTAGTTGTGATACAAGGGTGCCACCCTGAATCCAGGAAGGGACAGCCACACCCACGCCTCCATCCCAGCTGCCCTTATCCAAGGAAGACATGGCCTGGAAAAGCAACACTTGGCCCAGGGGCTTGGCCTGGGCCCTGCCACCAACCCTGGCTTGGATACTACTAGGGGCCTGTGGTGGGAGTCACCTGCCTCAAGCCAGGTCTCAGGGCTGCCATGGGCTGGCAGCTGAACCGGGCACAGGACAGCTGCACCTGGAAAGTGAGTACTCAGACCCCAATGAACCCCCACTCCACCAGAGCAATACCAGGATGTCCTTTCAGAGGCTCAGGCTGGCCAAAAATGATGGATCAGAGCACAGACCCTGCCGGGCCTGGTAGCACACACCTGTAATACAGCACTCGGAAGGCTGAGGCTGGATTTTGAGTTTGAGAAACATAGCAAGACCCTGTCTCAAAATAAATAATCTAACAACAAAAGCAAACAAACTCGATGTTGGACTGCTTGGTTTCCAATCCAAGTCCCAGATCTGCTATTTCATACCTATGCCTCCTTGGGCCACTAAAAATAGGAGAGAAATAACAGAGCCATCAGAGAGGTGTCCTGAAAGATTAAGCATAGGAGCACTTATACCATTTCCAGGCACAAGACAAATCTAAGCTGATTACAAGTGATAGTCATTCCTGTTTGAAGTACACCTGCAGCCAGAGAAGGATTTTTACTTAAGTTTCCTGGGTCAAAGTCTGAATTTTTGTAGTTTGGTATTGGCCCATTTTCCCCTTTGACATTTCTCTATTAGGTCATTATTAAATTATCATCATTATTGGAAAGTAACTAATCTTGGTGACCCTCTGCTTTTTCTTTTTCTTTTCTTTTCTTTTTTTTTTGAGATAGTACTTCTTTGTACTGCAGGCTGGCCTCAAACTCAAGGCATCCTCCTGCCTCAGCCTCCCCACTGGTGGGATGATAGGTGTGTGGCACTAAGCCTGGCGAGTTTTCTGAGAGGACTGATGTAACTGTAGCATCCTTTGTTCAGGGGACCCGCCAGCCTCATTTCCTCAACCTTACCTGATGATCCAAGTCCCTGGCTCACAGGTGGCCCTGTCACCAGCACCTTGTCCCTCAGAGGTGGACAGACCCAGGGCAAGGGGCCCTGGAGCTGACCCTGAACACTATGGTGCACTGAGCCCCGGGTGAGTATAGTGCCCCTTAGCATGGCCCTGGCCTAGGATCAGGACCCTACACCCTTCCCTGGGTCCTGATCATCGGCCCTGTCCTTGAGGTCCAGGTGCGAGTCCTTCCTGGGACACCTGCAGCGTGCGCTCCACCGTCATTTCCACCTGCTGCTGCTGGGGCTGCGCCAGTCCCTGCCGCTTTGCATGGAGCTCTGACAGGCCTGGTAAGGTCAGAGTGCAGGCCCAGGGGTGGGGCCTAGGACGGGGCCTTGGGAGGGAAAGGACCTGGCCTGCCTGTAACCCTCAAAGGAATTATGTCTAAGAATGAGGCCTAGCATTCAGAGCAGAAAGGGGGGGAAGCATGTGGGCCCCTGGCTTTGAAGCTGGCTATTGGGGGCGTGGCCTCTTATGAGCCTGGAAGTTTGAGCGTTTTTTTTGGTACCGGAGAACTGAACTCAGGATCTTGTGCTTGTCAGGCAGGCTCGCTGTGCCACTGAGCTAAATCCCTGCCTGTTTTTTTTTTTTTTTTTTTGAGACAGACTCACTATGTATTCCAAGCTGGCCTTGAATTCACGAGGTAGCCCAGGCTGGCCTCAAACTCATGGCAATCCTCCTGCTTCAGCCTCCTGAGTGCTGGGATTTCAGGATGGATCACCACACTTGGCTCTTTTTTGTTTTTTGGTACTGGGGCTGCAACTCAGTACCTGGTACTCGCCAGGCAGGTGTGATGCAACTGAGCTAAATCCTCGGCCCTGTTTTGTTTTGAGGATCTTGATACGTAATTCAGGGTGATCCTGAACTCACTATGTAGTCTAGGCAATTCTCTTCCCTCAGCCTCCAGAGTACTGGGATCACAGGCATGTGCCACTATGCCCACTTCTGCCTCTTATTTTTATTTTTAATTTTTTTGGCACTGGGGATTGAACCTAGGGCCTTCACATTGAAATATATTCCCCAGAGCTTTTCACTTTTTAAAAATATTTTTGACAGAGTCTCTAAATTGCCCAGTCTGGACTGGAATTTTCATTTCTCCTGCCTTGGCTTCCCAGAGTGGTGTGATTACAGGCCTGGACCACCATGCCTGGGAGGTGTGGAGTTTTTTAAAGCAGAGCCTCTTGACTGAAAAGAAAAAGTAAAGGGTATGGCATGTAAGGGGCTAACCCAGAACCAACGTCTGGTGTCTGCAGAGGTGAGGCCTTTGTGACACCACCTGGGACGAAGCAGGAGCTGAGACTATCTATGGGTCTGATGCACTGGGGGGATGGCTCAGGGGCAGAGCACTTTCTTAGCAAGTGGAAGGCCCTAAGTTCAATTGCAAGCACCTCAGAAATAAATAAGTCTATTATTTAAAGGAAAGAAGCCAGCTCTGGCAGTGGATGCTGTAATCCCAGAACTCAGGAGGCTAAGACAAGATTACATGAAGCCTGAGGACAGCCTGGGCTTCACAGTGAGTTCAAGGACAGAATGAACTACATAGGAAAACCTTGTCTCAAGCAAATGAGAGAAAGAAAGGACAAGGGTAAGATCAGAAGGCCCGGCACCAGTGGGTGGAGACTCGGAGAGTAGGAATAGTGCTAGATGTGGCTTTGAAGCCCTGACTCCTCTCTCTCCACACATTATTCCTACGTTCACCACCTGCAAAGCTGATGTCACCTGTGGCCCTACTTGGCTGCCAATCTCAGAAGACAGGGGTTGTGCGCCCAACTGCCCCACCTATGGGCAGGTGAGTTCAGGGCAGAGGGAGACTTGAGAAGGCTGATGTCTTGCCTTGATGTTCCTAGGCCCTGGAGTCTGGTTGACACTGCCAATGCCATTGTTCCCATCGTTCCAGGCTCACATGAATGCTGGGATGTGCCCATAGTTCCTCAAGGGGCCCCTGAGTCCACAGTGCCCTTCCCAGGGACCATCTCTGCTCTGGGCCTGTCCAAGTCCTTTCTAGGTTTGGGATGGCTGGTGCAGGCTTGTCATCCCAGCACTTGGGAGGCTGAGGCAGGAGGATATCCTCAAGTTAAAGGCCAGCCTGAGCTACATGGTGAGTTCAAAGCCAGCCTGAGTTGCACAGCGAGACCTCATCTAAAAAAACAAAACAAAAAATCCTCTCTAGAGGACTTGGGGACACAGTCATTCTCCCCAATCCCCTGCCCAACCTCCCAACCTCACTTGGGAAGGAACTGGCGGACTGTCCTCTATGCCCTGCCTACTGTGCATCTAGACTCCACCCACTGGAGCTCTAACCCCGCCCTTTATCCTGCCCAGACCTTTGCCAATGGGGTGGACCTCTGTCGCCTGGCCCTGGGTGACGCCCTGCCAGTGGCAGCTCCTGGCTCCTGCCATTCCCTCAATCTCCCCACATCGATGTCCCCGTGTTGTTGACCCAGCTGGTGCGCCAGGGAAACTAGCCTCTCCGCCCAGGACACCGCAGGCAGTGGAAGTGGAAGTGGCAGTGGCAGTGGCAGCGGCAGCGGCAGTGGCAGTGGCCTGTAGCAGATACTTCCAGCAGCAACCCAAACTCCGGGCGTTGTCTTCTCTCCCTCTGAATAAAGTCTCAGCCAGAGCACTTGGTGTAGCTGCTCCTTGGGGGAAGAACTGCCAGAAAGTGAGGGGTCTCACTTCATAGGCCTAATTCTCTTCCTACCAGAGCCCTAAGGAGAGTCTCAATTTCTCCACCTATAAAGGTTCAGCCAGGTGTGGTGGTGCACACCTGTAAACCCAGCACTCAGCTTCTTTTTTTTTTTGGTACCAGGGATCGAACTCGGGTCCTTGCACTTGCAGAGCAGGCAGCGGAACCACTGAGCTAATTCTCTGGTCCATAAACCCAGCACTTGGGAGGCTGAGCCAGGAGGACTGCCACAAGTTTGAGGCCAGCCTGGGGTACAATAGTGAGACCCTGTCTCAACCCCCCCCCCCAAAAAATGGGGATTTAGCTCAGTGGTTCCACCGTCTGATTCATAAGCCCAAGGTCCTGAGTTCAATCCCCAGTACCAAAGAAACAAACAAACAAAAAACCCCCCAAAATTCCAAAAACGGAAAAAAGAAATGGTGAGGGGAGGAGAAGGGGCAATGTCTCCTTAGGCCTAGTCACTGGAGCAAGGCTAATGATGTCTGCTGTGTGCCAGGTGATACGGAGATGGACCAATCACCCTTTCTCCGCCCACAGAGAGTGGAGCAGGATTGAAAATGCCCCCCTGAGAAGGAGTGGATGGAGTTTATTCAGCTGTGAAACCCACTCACCAAAAAGTACACTTCAGCCAAAACAGAAGCTTCAGGAATGGCTGGATCTAGGGGTTTAAGTGATGTTAGAAATCTACAATGTAGCTGGGCGTGGTGGTGCATGCCTATAATTGAAGCAGTCTGGCAGGCTGAGGCAGGAGGATTCCAAGTTAGAGCACAGCTTGAGCCATCAAGGGAGACTGTGTCAAAATAAAAAAGGGCTGGGATGTACCTCAGTGTGAAGGCCCCGGGTTCAATCACCAGTATCGCACACACACACTCAGTCTCTGTGTATTTTTTCTTAGTATAATTCGGACAGGATCTCATAGTATCAAACATGGGCCAGTGACATGATCCAGGTATTGTGTGACTCAGCCTGGTTGGGAGCACTAGCCACTTTCTGGGGCTGGCTGACATTGATCCCGTTTCATCATTAGCTCACTGCCAAAGCAATCACTGTGCCCAGGGGACACCATGCCCTGGCTGGCCTGATCTGGGTTACGATGGTGCCTAAGGACTCACAGGGGCTGAGGGATGTCTTTCCCACAGGAGAATCGGGCACTGGAACCAGGAGTGGGAAGGAGCACTGGATAACAAATCAAGACTTATCAGCCAGGGATTTAGCTCAGTAGTTCCAGCACCTGCCTTGCAACCGCAAGGTCCCGGGGTTGATCCCTGTACCCCCCAAAAAAGACTTATCAATTACACGGTGGTGTGCACCTGTCATCCCAGCACCCAGGAGGCTGAGGCTGAGGCAGGAGGATGGTCCTGAGTTCAAGGCCACCCTGAACTACATAATGAGACCTTGTCTCAACCTCCCCTCCCACCCCAAAAATCAAATAGTCAATCACATAATGCCCATTCTGTTTAGGTCCCAAAAGGCAGCAGCTGTGTCTCCCTGGTGAGCACCCTCCCAAGCTGCCCTTGCCCCAAATACTCCCCCTGGACTCATGGATTCGTTCGTCCTCAGACAACTTTAATCCTAGAGGCAGTGGAGCCTGGCAGAGGGCGTCGGGCTGGGTCCTAGAGTGCAGTAGCGGACTCCAGGCCACGCTCCTGGAAGTACCGGTGTGGGGCACGGGCTCGGGGGCCTTCGCTTTGGAAGTAGGATGTGATCCTCCTGTGCCCCTCCTGCTCCTCAGTCGCCGAGTCCTCCCTGGGGGAGAGGGGTGGCACTGACCACTTCCAGCTGAGCCCTGGGCTCCCTCCCTGCTGCCCAGGGCACCCAGGTGACACCCACCATGTGACACCTTCCGCTTCCTTCTCCAGGATGGCCTGGGCTGTACGCCAGCTGAACCGGACAAGCTGCGGGAAGCCAAACACGGGTTCCACATGCCTCCTCAGCCAGGCTTTGGTCTTGGGGTCTGAGGGAACAGTGATGGTGACAATGCTGAGCTCCTTACCACACATACTCGATTCCTCCCAAATCCCTGAGGCTGCTGTTTCTGGCACTTTCCTGCCTCAACCCTTTGCACAGACAGCTAAGCCCCGACCTCCCACAAGGTGCCTGGCCTGACTGTACTCAAGGTGCCATGTCAGCACTGTAGGAGGCTGAGTGAGGAGGATTGCAAGTTTGAGCCCAGCATTGAGAGTTCAGCAAGATCATCTTGAAACAAATTTTTTAAAAAGGTGTAGCAATGTAGGTCAGGGCAAAGGGCTTGTGTTCAATCTCAGTGCTGAGAACCAAAAAGAAACCAGCATTTGAGGGGATTTGTCTTTTTCTTTTCTTTTGTTGGGGGACATAGCAGGGATTGAACCAGGGCCTTCACACTGAGCTGGATCCCTGGTTTGTTTTTTTTTTCTTTTCTTTCTTTTTTATTTTTTATTTTTTTTGAGGCAGGGTCTCACTATGTAGTTCGGGCTGGGCTGATACTCACTACGTAGTCCAGGCTGGCCTCGAACTCACAGCAGTCCTCCTGCCTCACCCTCCTGAGTGCTGGGATTACAGGTGAGTGCCACCATGCCCCACTTGTTTTTCGGTGTTTTTGACACAGGGTCTGGCTATGCAGTTCAGGGTGCCCTTGAACTCCCAGCAATCCTCCTGCCTTGGCCTTCTGAGTGCTGGGACTACAGACATGTGCCACTTCACCTGGCCTGGAACGTTCAATCCTCCTGCCTCAGCCTCCCAGAGTGCTGGGATGACAGGTGAGTGCCACCACAACTGATTCCAAGCTGGTTTTAGCTGCACCTGAGTTCTACCCCACAGGCTCACTCTGCCCCCCTCCCCCAGCTGCCAGCCACTTCCTGAACTCCAGGACCAGAAGATCCTTTGAACCCAGCTGCTGCTTCCTCACTTTATCTTTTTCTTTGTTGCTGGGGATGAAAGCCAGTCTCACACAGGCACCTGTACCACTAAGTGGTGGCCCACCCACTGCTCTGCCTTCACAGGGCTCCACTTGCCCTGTATTCACACTGGCAGTCTTGGGGGAGGTGCTTGACCATGTTCATGTCCTAAACGAGGAGACTGGGTGCAACAGTGGGGAGAAAGTGATGGACTGAGGCCAAGGCGCCAGATGTGAGCCACCACCCCAAATTCCTGCCGTCTTCCTCTTGACAGACACACATTGACCTTGGGACCCACTGTCTGGGGTGCCAGAAAGATGAGTGGGAAAAAGAAGCCTGATAGTGGTGGCACACCCATGTTATCTCAGCACCGAGGAGGCGGAGGCAGAAGAATCGCTGGGAGTTTGAGGCCAGCCTGGGGTACAAAGCGAGTTTAAGGCCAGCCTGGACTACATACTGAGACTGTGTCTTAAAAATCAAACAAATAGGGGCTGGGGATTTAGCTCAGTGGTGCTGCTGCCTGCCTCAAAAGTGCAAGGTCCTGAGTTCGATCCCTGGTACCAAAACAAAACAAAATGAACAAATAAAAAAGTAAGAAGAGGAGGGCCAGGGATTTAGCTCAGTGGTTCTGCCGCCTGCCTTGCAACCACAAGGACCTGAGTTTGATCCCCAGTACCAAAAAAAAAAAGTAAGAAGAGAAGATAGGAGGGGGCCTGCGGGGTACAAGCAGGCTGGCACTCATTGGTCATGTGCCCACCATCAGCTGTGTTCCTGCCTGGGACTTGGCCTTTTCTGCCTCGGAGCAGGTGACCAGCACAACTCAGCACACCCAGCTCTGGTCATGTCAGCATCACTGGCACAGCCAGTGTGTTGGGGTAGCAGCAGGGCAGGTGGAACACCCCACCCCTCACCATTGGGGTAGCCTGAGCCGTAGTCAGCATCCAGGTCCTGCAGTTTCTCCACAAACTGCCAGCTCTTCACAGCCTGGTCTCGAGCCACCTTTGGGCAGGACAGAGGACAGGTGCTGGGACTATCCCTCCACCTCTGCAGCCCTGCCTGTCCCATGCCCAATGGGATGCTGGGAACTGGCTGCGGCCAGTGGGTGCTAACCTTGGCACAGATGCTGGCGGCGCTGACCACAGGGTAGAGGGCGTCTGCTTTGGCTTTGACCATCACTGTGATCTCAGGAAAGCGCTGCTGCAGCCGCTTCTGGTACATCTCTGGCAGTCCCACAGTGTCCACAAATACCTGCCATGGTGACAGAAATGTATTCATTCAACAAACAGCTGAAGAAACAATTAGGAAAATGATGCATTCTCTCAGCCTTTCACTTGCTGTTTCCACTGCTCAAAATATTTTTCCTTTCTTTTTTTGTGGTGCTGTGGATTGAAGCCAGGGTGTCACTTAGGCTAGGCAAACATTGAGCTATACCCTTGGGCCTGATAAAATATATTTTATATTTAAAACAAAGGGCTGAGGATGTAGCTCAGTGGTGCCACGCCTGCTTGGTAAGCACAAGGTCCTGAGTTCAATTCCCAGTTGGAGGATAAATAAATTTTTTTTTTTTTTGGTACCGGGGATCAAATTCCAGTCCTTGCGCTTGCAAGGCAGGCGGTGGAACCACTGAGCTAATTCCCCGGCCCAAGGACAAATAAATTTAAAAAAATAAAAAAACCAAGCCAGGCCTGATAGTGCGCACCTGTAATTCTAGGACTCAGGAGGCTGAGGCAGGAGAATCCGAGTGAGTTCAAGGCCAGCCTGAACTACATAGCAAGACCCTGTCTCAAAAACAAAACAGGGCCGGGGATTTAGCTCAGTGGTTCTGGCACCTGCCTCGAAAGCGCAAGGTCCTGAGTTCGATCCCCAGTACCAAAACAAAACAAAACACCCCAGCATAAGTAATAAAGTGCACCAAAGAGCTAAAAGAGGTTATAATTTTTTTTGTTTTTGTTTTTGTACCGGGGATCGAACTTGGGTCCTTGTGCTTGCATAGCAAGCAGCAAAACCACTGAGCTAAATCCCCAGCCTGTTGTTGTTTTGTTTTGAGACAGGGTTTTGCTATGTAGTTCAAGCTGGGCTTGAACTCACTAGAGCCCTCCTGCCTGCTCCTGCCTCAGCCTCCCAAGTGCTGGGATCACAAGTACGTGGGACCACACCTAATGGTTATAATTTTTTTTTTTTCAGCACCAGGGATCAAACTCAGGACCTTGCACTTTTGAGGCAGGTGCAGTGCCACTGAGCTAAATCCCCAGCCCCTGGTTATAAATTTTTTTTTTTTTTGGTACCAGGGGTCAAACTTGGGACCTTTCCCTTGCGAGGCAGGAGGTAGAACCACTGAGCTAAATCCCCAGCCCCTGGTTATAATTTTAAACAGTGATGAATACAGTTCAGGGAAGGTCCAAGGAGGTGCCTATTGAATAAAGGTTTGAAGGAGGAGAAGAACTAAGACACGTGAGGATCTTGGAGATGCTTCAGGAGATGAGAATAGCTAGTACAAAGGTCTTGGATTGGAAGTGTGGGGGGAATGCTCAGAAGCAGTAGGCTGGCCCCAAGCCCGGAACACAGGTCAACAAACTGATGAAGGTATGTGGCACCTTCACAGCCATGCCAGTTCTCAGGAATCACTATTTATCTGTGTACAGCTGACCAAGGGCAGGGCCTTTGTCACCTGCTCCAGTCCAGCATCTCCAGCTTTGCACAAGGGGCCTGGCCTCAGCCCCCTCCTCAGCACAACCTGCACACTACTACATCCCCTATGTCAGGTGCATTTCCCCATCATTCTCTCAAAATGGCCTATTCTTCACTCACAGAAATCAATGTTATGCCAATGGATGTTTTTCCCTGGTAATTTAGTCTCATTCTCCCCCACTTGATGTAATTTTTCCAATTTAATTTCCACTGTGATCATAAAAGTAAATGTCAAGATTTACATTTCACAAAGATGCTGGTCTGCTTCGTGGGAAGCAGACTGAAGAGGAGGGGGCTGGAGGTGGGGGCCAGGGAGGGAGCTGAGCAGGCTTCCAGGTGTGTGTGTAGGGGGCACCCTGATCTAGGACAGATGCTGTGGGAAGGTGGATGAATGTGGAATTTGTTCCACACCTTTAGGGCCGTTAGGAAAGGGATTCAGAGTAGACAGGTGTTCCACACATTTAGGGCAAAAATAATACATTCATAATACATCTGATACTAATCTGTCCCCTGCATTTTTTTCCTTGAAGTAAGTTTTATTTTCCTTCTTACTGGGGGGAGGGGGTGGAGAGGACCCAGGACCTTACATATGTTAAGCACAGGCTCTACCACTGAGCTACACTCTTAACATTCACTGCACTTTTCACTTTTTTTTAACCCTTCCATTTTATCCAAAGGTAATCAAATGGAACCCAAAAAATTGGCTCACCTGGGTGACCTTCACACCCTGGTCCAATGCATACTGAATCAGGCCTGTGGCTGTGTCATGGGACAGGGAGTTCAGGTTGTATTTGACCCTGCAGCAGGAGAGAGAGCTCAGTGACCTCATTCCAGCCACAAGGCCAAACCAGTCCACGCTGCCTGTCCCTCCACGCCGACCTGTCAGGGACCCTCACCGCCCAAGCATGCTGGTGGAGATGAGGTTTGGAGACAGCACGTCCAGGGCCCAGCCCACCAAGTCCTGGTCCTCCTCCATTTTCGCAAACAGCCTGTCCCTCTCGCTCTCTGACAGGGTCTTTGAGTCTGGGAGGAGATTGGATAAAAGAGGGGTAGCCAAAAGGTGGGGGCAGGGGGAGCCGGTTCTCTCAATTCCTGTTCTCCCGCTCCATTTCCCACCTGCCCCCTGCACCTGCCCAATTACCAACCCATCCCCAGTTGTACACCTCAGGCTCACCTGCCACTTTCAGGGCCTCCAGATCTGCCAGGCGGGACTCGGGGCAATAACAAATGGCGTAGACCATGGGGCCTGGGGAAGAGGGAGGTCAGGTATAGGACAGCAAGGTGCAACCAGAGAGCCCACAAAAGCTGCAACTCCTGTTCCATCATCCTAGCTTTCTCTGGTGTCTGTACTTTTCCCATGATCACTGCCCCGACCCAGACCCACGCAACAAGCATCCCCATACCACGCCTTTCCCATCCCTGGCCCTGGGGGCCCACCCAGCACAGGACCCCGGCCCGCTTCATCCACGCCCAGAACGCAGGGCTCCTCGCGGCACACGGCAGGCACAGGCGAGCTCAGGCGACTGCGGCCCGTATTGTCCTTCTCCAGTTCGCTGAGATCCATGCTGCCGCCACCGACACCGCCTGCGGTAACCAACTCGGTGGTTTCTGGTCTCTGCGCGCGTTTTCCGCAGACCTCAGAGGGGCACTAGATTCTGACCAATTGGGACACAGGAGAGCCCCGACGTCCCGGCAGGCCTTTACACTTGCGCAACAGATGCAGTCGACGCTGCCCTATGGCCTTCTGGGAATTGTAGTTCACAAGCCCCCCAGGGGGTGTGGTTTGCAGTACAGTGTGGGCGGAGTCACTTCCCAAGCTCCGCCCTGGGGCCGCCTGGGCTCCGACTGGAGAGGCTAGTGAGAAGACAGGAAATAAAGGAAACTGAGGCACATCTCAGACTCTTTTTGAGCTTAGAAGGTCATATATCACTGTACTTCCAAAGCACGAGTCTCTTGCACTCAGATCCCAGTATTCCCTCGCCCCTCCACACAGGGCATCTGCCTCCTGTACTTGGGGTCTCCACTTCCACTGAACTCGTCTCCTGCCTTGGGGTTCCCAAACTCTTCCTTGGTTGCCCACTCGGATCTTCCTTACACTCAGGACCCCTACTTCCTACTGTCTCTCTCACTCAATCCAAGCCTCTCACACTCTGGGAGGCTGAGGCAGGAGGAGGGCAAGTTCCAGCCCAGCCTGGGCAACAGCAAATCAGCCAAAACCTGGTCTCAAAATAAAAAAGCCAGGCATGGTGGCACATGCCTGTCTGCTTAACACTCAGGAGTTTGAGGCAAGAGGATCACCACCATTTGAGGCCATCCTGGGCTACAGAGTGAGTTCGAGGCCAACCTGGACTACATAGCAAGACCCTGTCTCAATAAACAATAAACAAACAAACCAACAAATGGCTGGGAATGTAACTCAGTGTGAAGACTCTGGGTTCAATCCCCAGTACTAGGAAGAAAAGAGAGGGCTCAAGCCAAGCCTCCCCTACCCATAATGGAGATCCCAGACCCTCACAGATTCCTGCTCAGGGTCTCCATGCACTACTTGGGCTCCTTTCTCTCAACTCAGCACTCAGGGGCCGGGGATTTAGCTCAGTTGTTCCGGCACCTGCCTCACAAGCACAAGGTCCCGAGTTCGATCCCCAGTACCAAAAACAAACAAACTCAGCATTCAGGTTCCTACCTGGGCCCCATCTCCTATCTTAGCTGAGCTCTCCCTCCCAGGTCCTTCTGCCATTCCACTGCCCCACTCCTCTTCCCTGGACCAAGTGGGGTGCATGTCCTCTGCCTTCCTTTAGGGTTCCATTTCTTCTGCATCTAGCTACCCCTCCTTGCCCCCACCATCTTTTTTGCTTTCTCCCTGGATATCACAGGGCCTTCTGTACCCTAACTTCCTTGCTCTGACTCCCTGTACTCCATCACCAGCCTCAAAACCCAATTCTCCTTCCCTTCCTAGCCTGGACCTGCCCTCTAGTCCTTTCTGGCTCCAGTCCTCCCCAAGGGGCTCTAGGCCTAGCCAGCCCCATCCACCCTGCCTCCTCTACGCAGGGCTCACCAGGCTCAGACCCTCCAGTCGCAGTCCATCGGCCGGCAAGATGCACAGTCCTGCTGCCGGCAAGGCTTTGTCTGTACGAGGTTCTCAAGGTCCATGAACACTGGGCCTGATGCTGTGCCCTGCACCTTTCAGCTGCGCTCCTGCTTGCCTAGGTCGCAGAGACAGTGCCACTTTCCCCATGGGCCAAGGATAGAGTCCTCCTCAACTAGAGATGGAAGGGGGAGATAAAGACCCAGGTAGGGGGACTTACCCCTCAACCACCCCTCCAGGGAGGGGCAAAGGTAACATTAACAATTAGCCAGGATTGGTTGTGCATGTCTGGCATCCCACCACTCTGGGAGGCTGAAACAAGTGGATCCCAAGTCCAAGCCCAGCCTGGATAACTTAGCAAGACCCTGTCTAGAAAGCGAGAGAGAGAGAGAGAGAGAGAGAGAGAGAGAGAGAGAGAGAGAGAGAGAGAGAGAAAGGAAGGTCTGGGTATGTAGATCAGTGCCAAAGCCCTGGGTTCAATCCCCAGTACCAGGAAGAAAAAAACAAAAACAAAAATAAACCCCAAACATATCAGCTCATATTTGCTAGACTCTGTTTCTGTGATATTTAGTGTTCTCATTAGTCCCAGGTAAGGAAACTGAGACCTTGCCATTCAAAAATGACAACCAGGGCCCGGGATTTAGCTCAGTGGTTCCGCCACCCGCCTCACAAGTGCAAGGTCCTGAGTTCAATCCCTGGTACCAAAAAAAAAAAAAAAAAAAAAAGACAATCATCACTAGGGGATTAATCCTGGGCCTATCAAGCTGGCACAGTGCCACCTGACCAGCAGGGCTGACAGGTGGTAAATTAAATGGCATAATTGACATAATTGCTGGTACTTAAAATCCCTGGTGCTGTGCTAACACATAAAACCAAAGTAATTATTATGATCATGTTGAAAGCAGCTATAACTTTGTTTTTCTTGTTAGCTTTTTGTTTTTTGCACAGTGCTGGAGATGGAGCCCAGGTCCTCCACTGCTAGGCAGGGACACTCCTGAGGACCCTTGCCCCCAACTACAACTTGTTAAGATGCTCAGTACCAATTCTTCCTCTGTTCCTATGACACAGGCCTGATCCCAGAGTCATGGCTCACATGACCCAGCCACCTACAGTTCTAACTCTTGCCAGGTCTCTGCCACACCTCTTCCCATTCCTCTGTCTTTTGGCCTAGGCATTTGGTGTCCTCTGCCCAGGACACTCCCCAACTCTGCACTGTGGGTTTCGGCTTGTTACCCAGTCCACATGGCACCATCCAAGCTTTTTCTGGCTTTCCCAGCTCCCGGCCTCCTTGTTGGTCTGGTCTTCCTAGCACCATCCTTGGGTTTCTGGCTGTGTCTCTTCCTTGGTTAACGCCTACCATGTCCCCTGACACCGGTTGTTGCTCACAGGCAACGTCTATTTCCATTTACAGAGCAGAAAACAGCCTTGCAGCAGTCACCAGCCCCAGGGGACGAGACTGGAAATGCCTATAGCAGGGTCTGTTTGCAGCCAGTGCAGCCCTGGGCAAGCCTGCCATTACCCTTTTCATGTTGAAGCCGCAGCAGCTCCCAGGTGTCACCTTCACCTTGCTGGCCGAAGTACTGGTAGTCAGTGTAGATCTGGGCAGGGGTCTCCGGCACCAGGAGTATCAGAAATGGCAGCAGGAGTGCGGGCCTGTTCAGACAGAAGTTCAGCAAGAATTGGGCCATGCGGGACTCCAACCGTCCCAGCGCGCCCAGGCGCATCCAGGCACCGAGGGCGCGCCTCCCCGCACAGGTTAGGTGGTCCAAGCCGGGTGCGCAGCTCCCCCTTTGAGATGCAGTGGGCCCGCCCGTCCAGGCCACGCCCCCCGCGGCCCCACGCGCCTTGTTTGGTCCAAGTATAAAAAGGCTCCGCGGCCTGGGGCGCTCTGGGAGTTACGAATTTCAGTCTCTGCTTCTGCTTGTTCCCGGGTCCGGCTCTCACCCACTCAGGTACAGCCACGCCGAGTGCACCCGAGTAGGGGGAGCCTTCTCGGTGAAGTCTTGGCCCTATCCAGACCTCACCCCTAGCCTTCTTTGTTCTCCATCCGCCTTGGTGGCCGTCTTTGTCCTTGTGGGGGAAACCGAGGCCAGTCTTGCTTGCAACTAAGGCGCGATTGCCGAGCACCCCCGCCTTGCTCTTGGGGTTTCGTTGTCTGCTTCGGGCAGGGGACCCCGGGTGGGCCGCTGATGGGGTCTCTGCGCCCTGGGTAGGGAGGCAGGTGTCCGGGAGGGCCTTGCAGACTCGAGCCCAGGAAGGAGGGGTAGGGCGGGGGCTGGGACGCTGCTGCTCCGCCCCTCGGACTCAGCCCCTGGCCTCCTCGCGCCTGACCTTGGGGAGCTAGGACAAAGGGTCCCCGGGCGGGCACTGAGCGCGGGGTCTCGGCCTCCAGCCATGGCGGCCGGCAGCGCGCACATCGGGAAGCCCGCCCCGGACTTCACGGCCACTGCTGTGGTGGACGGCGCCTTCAAGGAGGTCAAGCTCTCGGACTTTAGAGGTGAGGTGATAGCAGGGAGCCAGCGCTTAGGGGCTGCTTTGCTGCAGAGGGGCTGGCCTGACTCCTTCTGTCTTGTCTGCAGGGAAGTACGTGGTCCTCTTCTTCTACCCGCTGGACTTCACTTTCGTGTGCCCCACAGAGATCATCGCGTTCAGCGAGCACGCTGAGGACTTCCGAAAGCTGGACTGTGAGGTGCTAGGGGTGTCCGTGGACTCCCAGTTCACCCACCTGGCTTGGTAAGGGCGGGATAGCACTGCAAAGCCCATACCACAGGGCCGTGCACTGTAGCCTTCTTTCCCCACCTTGAAAGAATGGAAAAAAAGACACCCCATTCCTTAATGTTGATGACAGTAATTAGCTTTTGGCAGCTAGTTCTTGGCCTGGGACGTGAAGTTGCAGATGCTTTGTCTCCCTTAGTTATCAGAGACAGGCTGAGACACCCTATTTACAGAGATGGAAACTAGTTCAGCAGTAAAGGGCTAGGCCAAGGATCCCAGCTAGGAGGATGGGGACTTTGATTCTACTGCGTGATATGGAGCCCACAAGCACATGGAAAGCCACTTGGCCAGACAGTTTTAGCCCTGGGTTGGCCAGGATATGGAATTCTGGGCCCTGCACAGCCCCCCAGGGCGTGGTGGGTGAGGCTCCTGGACCCTGTTCTACCTCCTTTATCTCTTGCCTTCAGCACCCATACTTCAGCCCTTATCACATCCAGGCCCACAGGGGAGAACCCTATGCCAGGCACCTCGAGGCCCCAACCCTGTCTCTGCTATCTCCAGGATCAACACCCCCCGAAAGGAGGGAGGCTTGGGCCCCCTGAATATCCCCCTGCTTGCTGACTTGACCAGAAGCTTGTCTGATAAATATGGAGTGCTGAAAAGTGATGAGGGCATCGCCTACAGGTATGGTGGGAACCCTCAGCCCAGCTCAGCAAGCTCCTGTCCCCAGGATGACTGGACCTTGGTGGCTAGCCTTGGGGTGGGGCTCCCTTCCCTGGCCTTGGAAGTGGGAGCTTCCAGCTCTTCACTTGGAAACCATATATCTCCAGGGGCCTCTTCATCATCGATGGAAAGGGTGTCCTTCGACAGATCACTGTGAATGATTTGCCTGTGGGACGCTCTGTGGACGAGACTCTGCGGCTGGTCCAGGCCTTCCAGTACACAGATAAACATGGGGAAGGTGAGCAGGATGTATGCATGTGAGTCCTCACAGCTGCCTCCTAGGCTCCTCTGTGTCATGCAGACATGCACTGCCCAGCCCAGCATCTGGGTAGAATGGAGGTTAGAGCCCCAAGAAGATTCATTTCAGGTCCTTATCTACAGGAAGTACCTCAGTACAAGAGCAGGGAGCTCAGCTAGGCATGGAGGCACATGCCTATAATCCCAGCACTTTGGGAGGCTGAGGCAGGAGGATCATCAGCTCAAGTCCAGCCTGGGCAATTTAGCAAATTCTTGAGAGCATGTCTCAAAATAAAAAACTGGCTTTGGAATGTAGCTCATTGTGAAGGCTCAATACCCAGTAATTGTGTGGATGGAGATTGGGAGGTGTAGAGAGCTATAGAAGGTATTTGAGAAGGTATTTCCCAAGCCATGCTTGAATAATGGAAGTTGAATCAAACTTTCTTTTTCTTTCTTTCTTTTTTTTTAATGTGGTGCTGGGGATGGAACCCAGGGCCTCCCACATATGCTAGGCACTGAACTACCTTCCCAACCTGCTCAGACTACCTTCTCATTTCCAAGAAACAACCTACAGGCACTCAAAAGCCCATTAGAACTAGGGCTAAGGAAGAATGAAGGTATTGAAAGGGGCAAAAGCTGAATGTGGTGGCATACCCCATAATCTCAGCACTCTGGGAGGCTGAGGCAGGAGGAGTGAAAGTTCAACCACAGCCTGTTAAACGTAGTCAGTTTTCAAGATCTGCCTCAAAATTTAAAAAAACATTCAATGTGAAGGCCCTGGGTTCCATCCCCAGTATGAAAAGGGAGCTGTGCTAGGGAGCAAAAGAAATTGAAGACTCCAACAGGAAAATGTTTCAGGGAATGTCAGGGCAAGCCTGTAATCCTAGCACTCACCTGTAATCCTAGAACTTGGGAGGCTAAGGCAGGATTGCTGCAAGTTCGAGGCCAGTCTGAGCTATGTAATAAATTCAAGGCCAGCCTGGACTACATAGCTAGATCCTGTCTCAAAACAACCAGAAAATGCTGTGGTTGGGCCTATAGCTTGGGGTTTTTTGGTACTGAGGATTGAACTCAGGACCTTGCACTTTCGAGGCAGGTGGCAGCACCACTGACCTAAATCCCCAGCCCTATAGCTTGGGTTTTGACCACTGCTTCCAGATTTTTCTTTCTTTTCTTTTTTCTTTTTCTTTTTGGTGCGGGGGATTGAACTCAGGACCTTGCGCTTGCAAGACAGGCACGGTGCCACTGAGCTAAATCCCTGGCCCTTACACTTTTTTATTTTGAGACAGGGTCTCACTAAGTAGCTGAATTGCCCAGGCTGGCCTCAAACTTGTGATCTTCCTGCCTCAGCCTCCCAGAGTCCTGGGATCACAGGTGTGCCCACCATGCCCAGCTCCAGCATTTTTTTTTTCTCTGTAACATAGGCTCTGGCTTTGCCTCCATCCCCTGAGCTTTACTGTGATCCTCACATACACATCCTCTTTCCACAGTCTGTCCCGCTGGCTGGAAGCCCGGCAGCGATACAATCAAGCCCACTGTGGACGACAGCAAGGAATACTTCTCCAAACACAACTAGGCTGGCAAATAGGGAGTAAGCTTGTCTCTTGGATCCCACCTGTGTCTCTACCTTGATGTCCATGCTGGCCCAGGAAGGGTGGACCTACCCCTCCACACTCCATGGCCTGGGTGAAGGCTGGAGGACTTGGCCAAGGCTTTCTGGTCCCCCACTGCTATCTGGTAACAAATGACCCTTCCCTGGAGACCACCCCACTGGCACAGGTCTGTAGGTGACCAATAAAGTATTAGTGACAGATAAGAGTCTGTCCTTTTGTTCTGTCTGGCATTCTCTCTGTCCCCCTCCCCTTTCCCAGGTCCCCATCTCCTCCAAGACCTGGCTGGGAAACTGACTCCGTAGTTACTGACTTTTACCACGAGGTGGCGGCCTGGCCTCATGCACTCCATACTCCTGCCTTTTCCCCCTTGGCCTGAGAGAGGCTTCCAAGACTGGAGGACTGTCATTCCCCCCGGAAGAAACAAACAGTATACCAGGACCCGCCACATCCTGAAAGCTGCCCATGAGGGTCAGCACCCTCATCTCGCCATCAGGCACCCTGGTTCAAACGCTGTTTAGCAGCTGTGATCTTCCCTGGTTGTTTATGCAAGTTTAAAGTATGTGAAGCATGGGCTGGGTGTGGCAACACATCTGTAATTCCAGCACCCTGTGAGGCTGAGGTAGGAGGATCACAAATTCAACCCCAGCCTGAGCAATTTAAGGAGACCCTTTCTCAAAATAAAAAATGAGGGCTGGGGATTTAGCTCAGTGGTTTCACTGTCTGCTGTGCAAGCACAAGGACCTGAATTCGATCCCCGGTACCAAAAAAAGATTAAAAAAAAAAAAAAATGAAAAAAAGACTGGGAATGTAGCTCAGTGCTAAGGCCATGGGTTCAATCCCCAGTACAAAAACCAAAGTTACTAGGATGGTCCCCTAGGCTTGGAAGGGGCCCAGTTAAGTCCGGTTATGGGAGAAGAGGCTGGGAAAACCCAACACCTGGAGCCTGAGCTACACGCCCAGTCCCTGGGGAGGTGGCCTATCAGCCCCTGCAGTGGAACGGGCAGGGCAGGCTAAGGCAGGTATCAGGAGATACGCAGGGTTCCCAGGGGTGCCTTGGCCGATGTTCACTGAGCCCGGGTTTCTTTCCCCAGAACAGAGCTGATAGGCTCTGTGATAGACCCACCCACCATTAATACTGCTCACCAGCTAATACTCTACAAGAGTCAGTGATCTTCCATTGAAATTTTCTGTGCTTTGAGTTCAAGAGCAACACCCTACCACCCACCCAACTCCCAATCCCCTGCCAGGCCTCCCTTGTTCTCATCTACCTGCTGCAGGCTCATTCCACTGCAGGCACAATTGTCTTCTGGCTGTTCTTTCACAGGCACATCTTGTCCGGGCCACAGGAACTGTGTGTGCACTGTTCCCTCAGTGGGCCTCTGTTTTCTCAGGACCCCTATTTTTTTTTTTTGTACCAGGG